ACGCAGAACTGCGCGAAACACAATATGTTTTCTATTGTTTCTGATGGTATATCAAACAGCATTCTAGCGGTTAATTAATTAGAACGAATTTCTCAACTAATAGGTACTATTCTAGAAAACTATAAAGAAAAGCAAAAAAATTAAGGCTATTCCGAAAATACCCCTAACATCTACTTAACTCGTCGAGTACCGGTTTTATAGACACAATTAAAGAACAATAGGTCGCGGTCACCGGTGACCACTTGGTGTTTGACAGTTTAAAGACTTAATGAAAGGTAAAAATTAAATAGGGCATAGGTAGAAAATAAATAATTTCTTTGTTCCTACCTCTGCTCTGACCTTGGATCTGAACAAAGGTGTCGACCAACGCATGCACCTTAATTTGTATGCAATATTCTAGGAGTATGTCGCCAAACCGGTCCGGTAGACCACCAGACGAACCGGATGCCAACCGGATCGGAGGCTGCTAAATAGTAACAAATTCACGCATGTTGCTTATACGTATGTAGGTAGGTATGTATGTATGTCCTTCGATGATATTTATTTAAAGATCTGCGTCGAAGATAAACTCCAATTATTTGTTATAATTTTGTAATTTCCTTTATTAGGTACCTACTTATTTCCTCGAATTATAACGTAATTGGATGATTCTAATTAAAGTTTTCGTTTTTTGTGCAAAATCTTGATTAAAAGGCGAACGTGATCCCAAAAAAAAATAGTGTTAGTATATTTATTCCTATTGCTTAAATCTGATTTATAAATATTAGAATCAAAACAATGACCCCAATGGGGCAAATTGATTAAAAAAGAAGTTAAACGGTGATACCATACTGTCCCTATTAAGTATTATTATAGGTAGGTATATTAGATTCTAAATTAAATGTATTTTGTTCTAGCCAGTACCATAGCCCCCTTCATACATGGATGTAGGTACATGTTGTATATGCCCATATATAAGTTATTCGATAATTAAATTAAATGAAGGCACGTCTCTCAAGGTCTTAGGACTGACATCAGCTGCACTTTGTATTAAAAACTCATTTTATTCTCAATGACGATATCACATCAATTCTATTTATATCCATGCCTTAAACTGTCAAACACCAAGCGGTCACCGGTGACCGCGACCTATTGTTCTTTAATTGTGTCTATAAAACCGGTACTCGACGAGTTAACACAATGTGATAATTTATTGGACAAAATAATATAAAACACAACAAGTTGAAGTTTATTTTTATGGTAACAATGAATCACCATGCTTGCTTAACACGTTAAACGCCATGGGGGTCACCGGTGACCGGCGTTAGCGGAGGATTTACCTTCAACAGTTTTTTATTGGCAGTCAAAGTCTTAAGGTGGATTAGTGATTCTAGACTAACATTGGACTATAAATCTGATCGAAAGGACTCCTCATGATGCCTAAGCTCCGGGAACAATTAAAAAGCAGACGATAGGGTAGTTTCCAGGGTAAGAAAATTGAAAATCCAATTAGTCTGTCAGTTAGATATTGAAAAAATATTAGACACGTATTTTTTACTTTCTCGTATAAAGTTACAATACTTAAATAAAATTGTGTTAAGTTGAGGAGTGGGAGGTAGTTACGTCATAACGTGGTACATTTTGTTGCACGCTGTGACGTCACGCGACACTTCAAATCAATATATCGTCAAAAGCATATAATTTTGTGAGAAAAGAAAAATACGTGTCTAATGTTTTAAAATAATCTACCATACTGACATTAAAATAAAATTTAGGAAACTACCCGATTATAAAATTAAAAATGTTTTATAGCCGAATTCGAATCCTTTTAGGTTGTATATAGGCCGATTCACCAACATCCACATATTATATATAAAATGCACGTATAGAGTCCGTACCTAAATGACCTTTCCTATACCCCTATTATGTTTGATCTTTAATCCATACCTCTAAAAACACCCAACATAAAGTTCGTCACGGCTTTTAAAATTAGTATTAAATCCAATAGTCACCAGGCCATGATCCACGCACGTAGTTCACCACCTTCCACGCATGACATCACTGATATCCGTGTGCAGAATGTCAAACGTCTAGAATAGGTCAAAATGTGACGTCATAATTCACTATAAACAATGCAACAAGATATCAACTAGATGTTGGCTCTACTTACTGCATTAATATTCATTTATTCATGATTTATGAATGCAATTTCTTACTCAACTTTTTATAGGGATATCGATATGCGGATATTGCGGGTTTATGTACGTTTTTATGCATTACAGAATACATTAAAAAGTGTAAAAATTACCACTGTTATTACATATTTGCAATAAGTTCTAACCATACTTTCTCCTCGTTTTCTTCGGTCTCATAATAAAAACGGTAAACAAACAAAACATAAAAAATTTTATCCTTTCAATCACAAACGCAACAGCAACCATATTGAACGGAGAGGACTTAACTCACCGGTGCTGCCATCTGGCCATTGCAGAAACTGTCAACATAAATAACCACACCCACAAAACTTGCATAATAAATAAAGTGTAACACGTTGTTACGTATCACCTTAGGCATTCGATCTTGAACTTTAGTGTGTAATTTTCCAGATTGCAATCCTTTCTTTAGTTTGCAATGAGTATTCGATGACTTATATTACAATCTACCTACACTAATATTTATAAAGCAAATGCGTTAGTCTGTTTGTTGCTCTGAACACTCTAATCTCCAGAACCGGTCCAAATAGAATAATTCTTTTAGTGCTTTTTTTTGAGGGGATAAAACCGTTCAATGACTTCTCCCGCCCGGATGAGGCGGGACGAAGTGTCAGACTCTTACTGACTAAAAACCACCCCGTTCCTACTCCTGCACTTCGACCGGAGCCCCGGCAACCCGTTAAGTCTTCCGCAGCTCCGTATCGGCATCAGCCCTAAGGCACCATCTGTGGTGGTCTGATGGTTCCTTGAGGCGCCCGCGGAACGCGACGCGCCGTACACTCGGGCCTGATTCTGATGATGTGCTCGCCGCCCGCAGGCCGGTGCTTACGGTGGCCGGAGAAATTCTTTTAGAGCTGGATAGTCTATTTATCGAAGAAGGCTATAAACCATCGCATTAACTCGTCGAGTACCGGTTTTATAGACACAATTAAAGAACAATAGGTCGCGGTCACCGGTGACCGCTTGGTGTTTGACAGTTTAAAATCAATAGGACCCGACCAGAGCGGGTGAAATCGCGTAGGAATAACTAGTTTATTATATGCAATAACTTCCGTAGTACGAGTACCTAGGCTTATATCTATTTCTACCTTATAGGTCAATGTCGAAGATGAATAAATAATATATAAGGTATATTTCCGCATTTATATCACAATTTATTATTATTAATCAAGCCATTTGTTATTATTTATTTATTCCATGTTTATTTTGTCGTTTACAATATTTATTTGTTTGATATTGCGACAAGATGGAGATAGAATATTAATACATTTAATTATGTTTTAATAAATAAACGAACGCATGACCGTCTTTTTTATGGAATAGGAGGCAAACGAGCAGACGGATCACCTGATGGTAAGCTATCATCGCCGTCTATGGACACCCGCAACACTCGTGTAACTACCGAATATGTTTCGGAAAAACAATGACATGTTTTGGGACATTTACATATCTACTCGAAAAATATTCTGCACTTAAAAAAGATTACATAATATCTAAGATAAAAGTGTAAATCTTTTATTTCAACACGCAATATTTGTCGAACTACTAAGTAATGACCTTAAGCGACCTTCACCTCGACATTTAAATCCATTTTTAAGCAACTTGTTTCTCTTGATGACATCTGACGCATTTTTGGAACAATGGCGTTGTAATCTTTATCAGCATTCGTAATAGGCCATCATTAACTAATGTAGGTGTTGTAGTTGTAAGTAGGAACCCCGAGAAGGTTTTTGCTCGTATCATACGTAACCGAAGGCCTTCGTACGAGTTAGTTTTACGTAGTTAGTAATCAAAACGAGTACGCGTTCGACGGTCTAATTGGTTGGTTCATCGGAACCGGCCAATCAGAGGGCTTAGTAGTAGTGTCAGACTCTTACTGACTAAAAACCACCCCGTCCCTACTCCTGCACTTCGAGCCGGAGCCCCCGCCTACCCGTTAAATTCTCAGCGGCTCCGTATCGGCATCATTCTTAAAACATTCTTAAAGAACTTTTCTTTTATTGATTTTCTGACTGATGATGAAAGTTAATGCAGAAACTAGATTATAGATGGTTATTAATTAAGTATGGAGCTGATATTAATGGGGACATTGATTCTACGGAGAGCATAAAGAAAAGAACTTTCCGAAAATCCTACATAAACTGCAAAATATGACTTTTTAGGGGTACGAACACGGTACGGTCACGTTAAACCATTTATTAATTGCCTCAAAACAGGTCGGGATATTTAAACGGCTACGGCTCGAAGAACAAGAGTAGGAACGGGGTGGTTTTTAATCAGTCACTCCCCCATACCCAGGCGGGAGAAGTCATTCGATGATTTTCCCCCCTTAAAAAAGCACATTATTAAATCTAAATCTCTAATCTCTTGTAATCTAAATCTCTAATCTAATCTAATCTCTTGTATCTTTTGTTTTATCCAGTACTCACACCACATTAATTTAAACTCATAGTTATGAGCTTAGAGTTCTAAACGCGAAGAATTGTAGGTAATTGGCTCACCGATACCTGTATCTGTAGGTACTTATTGCTATTTTTAATTGTTTTTTTATCAGCTGTAAGTTTTCCATGTTCTATAAATAAATAAATCATGACGTAAGTACTTATTTGTTACTAAAACAAAAACTACTGAATGGATTAAATTAACTAACAGTAGTGCAATAGGTAAGTGATTCATTCATAAATTATTAATTTACACGGATGGGACTGTGATTGCTAAACAAGGGTATTCAGAAAAACCCGAGCACCGGTTCAGTAACAAAACTTATGTTCTTAGTAAAAACTATTATAAACAAAAAACGTGACAGAAATGACAGTGTGCGAAGTAAATAATGGGTTGGAATTAAAACAAAGAATACGTAAATTACCTTTGCTTTGTACCTGTTTAGATTTTCAGCGATATTTGTCTTCAATCTCATGTTTTTTTTTCTAAGTTAAGTATGTAGGTACTTAGATAATAATCACACTATAGCTAATATTATAAATGTGAAAGTTTCTTTGTTTAGATGTTTGTATGTTTGTCCGTCAATCACACTGTAACTACTGAACGGACTTTGCTGAACGGAACGGAGCTGACTTAGGTGAAAGGATTTTTATCGCGATTGGGATAAAGAAAGAATACGCGGGCAAAGCCTTGGGCAAAATTTAGTTTTTCATAAAAAGGACTGGGCACCCTACTAAATCGACATTCGACGGTAGATAACACTTGGGCGTTACATTCTTATGGAACAAACATTATCCAAATCCAGTTCTATTGAAAAAGAAACTTTCCTTAAATGTAAAACATTTAAGGAAAGTTTATTTTCCTCAAATACTAAACCAATAAGGGTCAAGTTACACAAACAAACCGCAAATCATACATTGCAAGGTCCAGCTACCAAACAGTACCTTGACCGTAAACAGGATTCATAACTTACATACTGCGGTCTTATTTACATATGTACCTACGTTATGTACCTATACATTTCGTCATCAAGTCATCACCATACAAAGGTATGTCACCTTGGATAAGGAATTTTCACATCAACATAAAACCTCCTTTATTGATTTATTTGTTTGTTATTAAAAGCGCGCGAATTTATTTGAGTTTATGGTGTGTTCGAATTGTTTTTTTTTTTTTTTTTCGTTTTTCAAATCGTGAGTTATTATGACGTTAGAATGCGGATTCTGTTGATATTTTTTTTTATTAATATTAAGGTATAGGGCATTGCAGTTTTTAAAACTCAGATTTATTAACATTAATAAAAAACTTTGATTTACTCTAGTAAAATTTACCGTACGTTCCGAAATCTAAAATTATATTATTTATTTACAATTTCCAGCACATCTGGTGGGCTCATCTGAACCTCAGCCGGTGACGGAGGTGTGCCTGGGGTGCATCTGCCAGGCTGTGTCAGGGTGCAAGGCGGGGATCCAGTGTGATGGGGACCACTGCGGACTCTTCCACATTACGTGGGCATACTGGGCTGATGCTGGTAAACCTACCATCAATGGACAGTCGTCGGACGCTCCTGATGGTAAGAGCTTCTTTTATACAGATTCTTTAGAACTTGTTTTATTTCATTTTATGTTTATAATCGCGAACATATCAATTCATGAAATGACTGGATATTTACCAAGCTTCATCATCATCATGTCAACGGTTAGAATACGTCTATCCAACCCTGAATGTCCTGAATCCTGAATGACCTGTCGGCTGTCACCAATGATTTCCAGATCGGCTGATGAAAAACTTATTATTCCGAAACAACAACAACCTACATTTGATTTAAAACTTTGCACTCATAGAATTAAAATACAAATTAGTTAAAGCCAGGCATTCTCTCCCAATCTTACGTTAGATGTGGTAAATAAAAAGAAAAAAGACTAAGTAGATGGTAATATACGAACAGGAATTTTAATAATTAAACCATTGGTAACAAAATCATGCTTAAATCTCCTGGTACACAAATTATAATGATCCTATATTTATTTTCATAACATCATAACATCACGCCTTTTATCCCCGAAGGGTTAGGCAGAGGGGTACATTATACCACTGTACAATGTAACACCCACTTTTCACTATTTATGTTATGAGTCCCATGTAATAGGGGGTGAGCCTATTGCCATATACCGGGCACATTTCCAGACTCCGTGCTACTACTGAGATTTCTTTTAAAAAACCCAGTAATACTTTGCCCGACCCGGGAATTGAACCCGAGACCCCTTGCCCGGTTGTCGCACTTGCGACCACTCGGCCATCGAGGCAGTCAATATATATGGTATAAAAAATGATATGTCTATAAAGGCTAATGAATATATTATTGTTTTACAGCGTACCCGAACTGCACAAACGACCCTTACTGCGCTGCCCTCGCCGTACAAGGATACATGAGGAAATTCGCTCAGGTAAGCAGTTTAACTATGAACTGCGGAGAATTACAAGGACTTACAGGGACTCTGGCTCGAAGCAGGATTTAGAACAGGGTGGTTTTTAGAGTCACACCTTACCCAGGCCGAAATGAGTCATCCGATGTTTTCCCTCCTTAAAAAAAGCTGTATTATTCAACCAGACGCATTATTACTTTGTTTTAAAAATAATTGCTGTAAAAACCTATTTTGAACACCATAATTTTCCATAGACTGCCTCGTTGGCCGAGCGGTCGCAAGCGCTAGTCAAGGGGTTCGATTCCCCGGATGGGCAAAGTATTACAAGGTTTTTAAAAAAATCAGTAGTGTCACGGAGACTGGAATTGTGCCCGGTATATGGCAATAGGCTCATCCCCTATTACATGGGACTCGTAACAGAAATAGTGAAAAGTAGGTGCTACATTGCACAGTGGCATTAAGTGCCATAATGTGCACCTCTGACTACCTCTACGGGGATAAAAGGTATGATGTTATATGGCAAGATATAAATGTAACAAAGATAGCCCTGTCTTCATTTCACAAAAACAATTGAACAATTCAATTGCCTGACGTTTCTAAATTAAACCAGACACTGGTACAACTTTTTGTATGTACCTACCGAATAAATCCGTAGGCGTAAAATGTGACTATGTCTATCTGATTGACATTGTCTGGCCAAGAATCCATTTGCATATGGCGAGAACATGAGGTCATCTGAATAAGGTGCTTACAAAACAATAATAACTTTAAAATTGCACATGGATTATGGTAATCATTTAAATAAAATGGTCGTGACTAAAGTTTACTGACTTGCGAATACAATAGGCCACTTAAATGTACTTAATAGTCCGGCGGATTGCGTTGACAATGCTATTATTACCTAGACTTACATAGGTACCTACATTGTATAATTAAAGGAGGATCTACACCAAAAAGTTAACGTCTCCATTTCTATGGTACATAATAATCTATACTTCTATATCTATACTAATCTATACTAATATTATAAAGAGGAAAGATTTGTATTTTTGTATGTTTGTAATGAATAAACTCAAAAACTACTGAACCGATTGCAATAATTTTTTCACCATTCGAAAGCTGCATTATTCAGAAGTAACATAGGCTATATAATATCACGCTAGGTCCTATAGTTGTGGAGCAGTAACCAAAAATGTTTTAAAAACGGGGGAAAAGTATCGTTTCTGAGGCCTTCCGTGGCGTGCGCTGAGCATATAGTTAAAGTTATACAAAAATGTTCTATATTATATGAATTGTTTATCTTAACATTATTTTTAAAAAAGTCCGCGAGAGCATATGTCTACCTTTTATAGTTTACCCATAACAATCGTTTTAATGAATGGTTCAATCCTTATAAAAGTTTGCTCTAGATAACTTTTGAATTGTTCAATCGGTTACCTTAAGACGCGACATAGACAACGGAGGGCAGGTCGCTAAAAAAAACTGAGAATAAATATAAATAAAACGTAAAACTATGTAAAAAATCTTAAGTCCCCCCGTGCGAAGCCGGGACGGGCCGCTAGTAATGTGATAAAGATGAAGGAACTCAAAATGTGCTTAGCAGCTTTGTTATAAACGTGTCCAAATGAAGATTTTGCATATGAGAACACATAACATAACATAACATCACGCCTTTTATCCCCGATCCATCATGGAAATGTCCATTCCACCACCGCGTCATGGCTCCGTAGTAGGTTGGATAGGTTCTTCTGAACCTTCCAAAATACCCTGTTTGAAAATTACATAGAAAGATTTTTTATGGCATAAGTCGGTAAACGAGCAGACGGATCACCTGATGGTAAGCAATCGGTGTCGCCCATCACACACCTGGAACACCAGAGGCGTTACAAGTGCGTCACCGGCTTTTTGGGGATTAGGAGTTTGAGGATCGTTGGGGATTCAGGGATTAGGGAGATTGGGGATGGGGAAGGTAATTAATTGGGCATATTAGATTTAGATTAGAAAATTATTATCTTAGGTCCAAAAGTTACCAATATATCCGAAGTATATACATAAACTTGTCTATTGTGATGTACCTTAGTCACCATTATACCCATCTATCTCCATTCTAACCAAAACCTTTTTTAACAGGACTGCAATGGTGACGGCCGTATCGACTGCTATGACTACATGGCTATCCACAAGCGTGGAGGATATGGCTGCGTTGGAGACCTGCCCTTCAGTTACGTGAACGTCTTCAACCAATGTGTAGCTGCTGTTGCCAACGCTCAGAAATACGGCTAAACCTTTAAATAGAGAAGAAGAAAGGGGAAGAATGAGACTTTTAGAGGACCTTTTATAATGATCATCTACCATCTTCTTGAAGGCAATATGTCTCCTGCATTCTTCGGATTCTTTGCCTCAGTAACGTCCTTCTCCTAAAGTCTATTTAATTTTTAATCTTTGACTTTTTAGAATTAAATAATGTCTTCGTTTTCTATAATGCTAAGGAACTGTAATCTTAACCGACGAAATGGAACAAAAATGTACTTATTTATATTTTTCTACATAATAACATTTTTTGTATAAGTAATAAAATCGAACTAGTCTCTAGAGGTATATTTTGGTTTTATTTTCCCTAGATTTCATAATACTATGTTGCATTCCTCAAAAATAGTGATGGCTGTTCACAAGGAATTGTATTGAAGAAACTGTTGTATTGAAAATAAGACTGATGATAGAACTATGTCTAAAGTATATATATTTTACCAAGTATACTGTACAGACCTACATTGCTCACATCATGGAAATGTCGAGCAAGCTAAGCAAACTTAAAAGCTTGGACTCGGTTCCTGGAAGGATCAAAATGTTTTTAACTTTAACGATATTCAGAAACAGCTGCCTGATATAGATAATGTCCCAAATGTTTGTAGGTATCATGTGGAAATGGTAATTTTAACCTCGTATTACAATGTATAATAACACAACTAGCGACAACTTGATGTAATTTAAGCTGCTGTAATACGTTACGTTGGCCTGTACTTAACAAAATAAATGCAGTAGGACAAACGAGCGAACTGCTGCTCATGAATATGAGCCTCTAGCATGACTTTAGACCCGCCCGGAGGACACGGTAGATCATACGGTGGCGGTGTGCCCTGCGTGGGCTGAGCACCACCATGTCCTCAGCTCAGGGATGTGATCGGCAACGGCGACCTCTCGCATCCGGCTCTAGTTCAGACCATGGTACGGAGCGAGGGGGACTGGATTGCCGTCTCTTCCTTCTGCGAAGCAGTCATAATAGTTAAGGAGTAGCCGGGGCGCGTGAGGGAACTCATTAAGGAATATGCAGTACCTATTTACCTCATTCTTGTAATGTGTTGTCCTTTGTAATATTGTCTGCTGTATGGTGTACAATGTACATGAAATCCTTACTATTATAAATGGGAAAGTGAGTTTGTTTGTTTGTTTGTTTGTTTGTTCCGGTTTCACGCCGTAACTTCTAAACCGATTGTTTTAAATTTGCAGACGTAAAATTAGACGTCCGGATTAAATAATAAGGTACTTTTTATCCCGGAAAAAAATGATATTCCCTAGGGAAAACAAAAGTATTGGTATAGATGGCGCTGTGTGTATTGGTATATGTCACATATGCTACTTTTTATCCTTTTGTGACGCGAGCGAAGCCGCGGGTAATAGCTAGTAAATTATAAGAAAGACTTTCACACGAATTAAACCACTTATCTAAAAATATATCCCAAGGGATCATTATGGATGCTAATAAGCGATTATGTACTAAAGCTAGCAAGTAATGGGTTAATGCAAGCATCCTGTTTTTGTCCATTGGACGTGGACCCAATTATCAGGCCTAAGTATTTAAACGATGCTCCTTCGGTTCCGAGGACAGTGTAACTGCATTTGAGCTGGAGATTTGGCGAGTAAGTCTGTTGATTTTATTTTTATCTGCTTTCTTTGTCTTTTTTTCTTGTAAGTTAGGAATGGAATTTGTAAGTGGTTAAAGGTTTTTCATATTTGTCTCATCTTAAACGTTAATTAAGATGAGTGTTCATTCTTGTGACTTTCCCAAGTCTTCTTTATGGAAAAAGTTCTTGGCCCTAAGCTTTATTGTATGGAAGATTGAATTTAAATTTCGGTGTTTTTATCACATCTGCTAGGCGATTCTGCAACTTTCAATCCGAAAGATCGAAATGAACTCGATCGCGGTCCGCTATTTCATTGGTTGTGAGAAAAATCTCGACCAATGACGGGCAAGAATGCGATCGTGCTTCGAAAGTTGCAATTGACAGATTGATTTTGATGGTTTAATCCTCTTAAAACTAAAAGAGATAAAAATATCTAACGCACTTACGATATTGAACAAAATTATAATGTCAAATCCGACGCTAAAGGTATTCCGACTGCAAGAATAAAACTAGTTACGTTGTATTTAAAAAATAAAAAACAAGTTCCAATTTTTTTTTTTAACACAGGGTGTTTATCTTCCCAAGAGCATCAACATGAAGACAATCTGTGTGCTTATACTGTGCACTATTGCACTGTCGTCTGCTGAAGACCATCCTCGTGGCAGGATGATCCAGGTCTGCGGAGCTGAACTCGCCAGGGCTGTCAAACGTGTGTGTGAAGACGGAGACCTGGATTTCTTTAACCTCCAACACTTACAGCGTAAGGATATGTGTGTTAAAGTATATTTCATTGCCCCACACTAGAATTTTCTCCTGTGTTGTGGGTGCATTTACTAACTAATACTAACATACAAGTTTACATACACATGACACCTTGCCTTAAAACAACAATTTGTGGACACAAAGAGTTGCTCCGTATGAGAATCGAACCCGCTACACGTTGCGCGGCAGACGGTTGCCCAGCCACAGCGTCAACCGTGCAGTCAAAGTCAACTATAGCTTTTATTTCCAGATCATCACCAGCACAATCACCAATCAGATCACCAACATGATCACCAGCATGGACATCACCATGATTCAAAGGGGCAACTGAAGAAGAGAGACACATCCACCACTTTAGCTGACCATTGCTGCCTCAAGCCATGTCATGTCAAAGATTTTGTCAGTTATTGTCCTTGAATGGAAACTCCTCAAGATAATCTTACTTAGACTTAGTTTAATACAAAATGTGTATGGTCGAAGACATAATTATATGTGATGAAATAATCGTCGAAGAATTATCTTAATCTAGTTTGAATGTTTCTTAGTTTTAGAGTCTGATTATTGTATTTTTATTTCCGCTGCTGAAACTGCCTTATTTACATAAATAAATAAAATATTAAAGGTCTTCTGAATTGATAATACCTATCCATGTATCCGTATTATGTCCAATTAAATGCAGTTTGCTTCCACGGCCCGCGCGCCCTCAACACACTTTACAACAACGCGACCACGATCGCATGAATTTGTTATATCTTTAGACCATTTTACAACACCTAATATATACCTGTATAATACAGTCCACTTTCATTTCCAATGGGCCTATCTATGGGTAAATGAGTAAGCCTATTTGCAATGTAGACCATGGAACATGAATATTTGAGAACTTTAGTTTAGATGGCTGATAGCTTGATAATGTGTAGATGTTATTTTGACCAGATAATGCGTCAAGCGTGTCTTTGCATTGTTCTTACATATGCGTACAGTATTGAAATATGTATCAGAGACATTGTAGAACATACTTTTTTAAAAAGAGTAACCAATGGAGTTTCTTGCCCGTTCTTCTCCATTCGAATCCACTTTTTGGAATGAGCACCTAGCTTCACCTAGTTTCATTGACGGACTGACTGACAGACTATTATTTATTTTGTATTTGTTGACGTTTCAAAAGTACCAAACTATGGTTTAATTGAAATAAATGCTTTGACATTTGACTTTTTTTGACAGAATGACCATGTTTTCGGGTCAATCTATTCATCGATTTTAAGTAACATACATACAAACAAACAGACATTCTTTTAAATGTGAGTGGACAGCATAATTAGCGCTTTATCACTTACATTGTCAGACGTCAGTTCTTAGTGCCCTTATCTATGGTCAAGACCCGCTATCGCAAGCGCAACGCGGATTTCATGCGTCTGCGCTTAATTTATTCTATCCGCTAATTTGCTTTCGACTGTTTGTGTTCTTCTAAACAAACAAAAGTCGGGGACTTACGGTTACTGCTTCGTCTGTGAACCTTCTGCCTTCTGTGTGTTTGTGTGGAACAATATACTGTAAGTACTTTATTTTAATACTCTGTGAACAAACCACCTTTACTATAACAACGTAGCGATCTTTTTTTTAATCCTATAATAGTAGGGTGGTACTCTGTCACTAGAACTTCTATGAGCAACAATAAGATTCAATCTAAGATTTAGGAACCCTGTTCACAATTTCGATTTCATCAAAATATATACAGCAAGAAGAGTTTGCAACGTACCATCAACATTGAAAAAAACTACGGAGTTAATCAACCCTATTATTTTTATAGGATAAGCCGGTAATCAAGCAGATGGATCACCTGATGGTAAGCAATCGGCATCGCCCAAGGACACCTGGAACACCAGAGGCTTTACAAGTGCGTTACTGGCCTTTGGGGATTAGAAATTTAAGGATTGTTTTGGATTCAGGGATTGAGGAATAGGGTGGGGGATAATTGGGCCTCCGGTAACCTCACTCACACGACGAAACACAACGCAAGCATTGTTTCACGACGGTTTCTAGAACTACTCCTACTCTAAATATTAAAATATATTTGGTGTCCATCTTCCCTACAGCATTAAAATGAAGATATTCTGTGTCCTCGTGTTATGCACTATTGCACTATCATCTGCTGAACCTGAAGACTATCCTAAAGGCATTATGGGCTACTTGTGTGGAAAAAGACTCGCTGAAGCATTACAAATGAATTGTGCTTATGAAGAACTGATTTTATCCCACCTTGAAAACCTACAGGGTAAGCTTTGTACTTATTTGTGGTTAAATGTTAAATATATTTAATTAGATAAGCTTGAGCGTCTTCAAAATCTATCAATCAGGTTTATATTTGGACTGCGCAAATATGATCACGTTTCAGATTTTCGAAAAAAACTCAAATGGCTACCTATTCGACTTCGCCGGAATGCTCATATTCTCTCATTACTTTACAATATACTCTTCAATCCTGCTGCCCCTTGTTATCTAAAAGAACGTTTTCAGTTCCTTGGTGACACACATACAAGGTTATTGAGATCATCAGACAATCTTAATTAAAATATTAGTTTGCACTCCACTTCCTTTTTTGGTAATTCCTTCACTATTAAAGCGGCTCGGTTGTGGAATGCCTTGCCGATTAAGGTGAGGCGTGCTCAAACTCTACCTCAGTTTAAAAATCTAGTTAAAGAACATTACCTCTCTCTTTAGTCATTATTTTTAAAAATTCCTACCTAGCATGGAAACACATAAACACACACACACACACACACACACACACACACACACACACACACACACACACACTCACACACGCGCGCGTGCACACACAGACACATCTACACACACACTCACTTATGTATAGTAGTTATATCTATTTTAATTTTATATATTATTTATTTGGTATGTAGGTATAGATAGTATTATATTGTATGTATTGTTTTAATTATTGTACACTAGACGACCCCCTTTTTCAAACTCCTGAATACTGGCTCCATCCAAAGGTTGTCTGGAAGAAATCGCATTCTGCGATAAGACCGCCCATTGTGCACATTCTTTTATGTTTGTTTTTTTTATGTATGTTTTTATGGTGTACAATAAAGTGTAAAATAAATAAATAAATAAAAAATATTTAGATTTAGGACCTATTTCACCTGATTAACAGAATCTGATAGTGGCCAAACGTCGATCTATTAAGTATAAAACAAATCTGGCTCTCTGATAAACCTGATCTTTTTAAACTGCCGTCTCCAACCATAGTTTGAAGACTATGACAAACAACTGTCTTTTGTAGAGAAGACCCATAGTTCAAAGGTGGACTCCCACCCCACGTACGATGGTAACAATAATGATATCTAAAGACTGAAATATAACTATCGCTTTTATTTGCAGAGGACAACCAACACAATCACCAATCGGGTCCAATAAGGAATAGACGTTCTTTAACTGAAGAATGCTGCCTCAAGAGATGTCATGTCAAAACTCTTCTCAGCTATTGTCCTTGAATGTAAACTCTTCAAGATCAATATCCTCCTTAGAGCTAGTTAAAAAATGTATGTAGAATTGTAGATGCAAGAGAAATTCTAGACAAAAATGAATACATAGAAGAAAGATTTATCGAATTTGGTCCTGTCGTTCTGAAGCTATGCGCGTATACACATTTTGGGGGTTTCATTTTTATTAATATAAAATAGATGTAAAAATTTTACTTCTACTTAGGGCTCATACACAAAACTGCGATGCGACGTCGCATCGCAAAAAACGTGCGAGCTCCCTCTACGCATCGTAAGAATTTGCGAATTGATTCGCATCGCGCATCAAAATCTTATCTTCCCAAAATGTCCTTTGTTTCTTTTTCCTGTATCACCTAAGCAATAACAGAAGTGCACACTTCTTTTTACGATCCATGTCACGACCTAGTTTTCAATTTAAAAAACGTTTAGTATGGTTGACGGTCGTCTGTCTAAGGAATGGTCACCCTGGGAGACGCCTTGGTGCACGAAATCGCATCTCAGCAATTAGCATCGTAATTTTCTGCGTTACGAATTCGCATCGCCTTGCATCGCAGTTTTGTGAACCAACCCTTAGACCAAAATTATGAAGATCTTTTGAAGATTTTCAGATAAAAATAACTACAATTGGCTATCAAATTAAACGTCAGTCAGATAATTTAAAGCTTGAACTTACTCATTTCTGTTTAGAAAAAAACAAAGTAACTATCTTTTTTTTTAACTACTATAATTAATTAAGCTTAGATGTCGCTAATGTAATGTAATTAGGTAGGTAAGAAAATAGGTGATGCAAGCTTAAAAGGGAGATGAAGATGTTATCTTTTACGTGCTTAATATATAAATTACTAGAATTGTAATTAATAAAACAATAAATGAACAGAGAACAGGACATGATCGAGAGCACACGGATGTCACCTTCGCGTTCCACTTACTATGAATAATTCAATAATTTCGTGACACAGCGGAACTATATAGCTCATAACAACTACAACACGATCTGATTCCTACGCATGCAAATTAAACTTAGTTATAATTAAATTATCTCATCATTGTAACTTCTAAAAAAACGTACATAATTTGAGCATATTACCATCTGCATCGTCTGCTTAGGTCCTGATGAAGGTCGCAGGGAGAAGCTGGATGCAGCGCATAGGTCGCCTCCAAACGGCCAATCTGGAAATCCAGGGGGAGGCGCATGTTGTTTAGCATTGGATATGACGATGCTGATGACCGCCATATTTAATCGAAAATTCTTCTATTTCTCTTTCTTTTAATTTTTTTTATAGCATAAACCGATAAACTAGCAGACGGATCACCTGATGGTAAGCAATCGGCGCTGCCCATGGACACTCGAAACACCAAGGCGCTACAAGTGCGTTACCAGCCTTTTGGGAATGGGGAATTTGAGGATTGTGGAGGATTCGGGGATTCGGGAGACGGGGACTAGGGAGTGGGGTAATCGGGCCTCCGGTAACCTCACTCACACGACGAAACACAACGCAAGCGTTGCTTTACGTCTATTTTCTGTGAGGCCGTGGTATCACTCCGGTCGAGCCGGCCCATTCGTGCCGAAGCATGGCTCTCCCACACTTAAATGAAATGATGAGCTAATCGAAATTTTCTTGTACATTTGGGACTTTTACAGTAGTTTTCTTAGTCCTTAGCTTTAATCAAAAGCACAAAGGCTGTATTGAGATCTACGTCCATTTGTTTCCATTCTCAGAAAAACCAAGCCGTTGCGTTGAGACATTCCGGTATCACGGAACTGAACCACCTACTAGTTACTCATTAAGTACATTTCCTTCAAGAAGGTTCTCAACTTCTCATCCAAGATAAACAATCAATTCGGTAATAACAACCGTGATCTTTAGATAATAATCATAACTGATTCGATGTCTATCCGAATGGAACAATCACCGAACTTTTTGTCGTTCATTTTTTTGATCGTATTCCATGAATCAACTTGCGTAGTTGATGGACCTTAGTATCTTAAGATCCGTAATAAACTAACTATAATAACATATTCAGCTAAAGTCGTGATTTAGTTTTATTTAGAAGTTATTGTGTTCTGCACTACAGTGCTAGAAAGATGTGTGCAACGTTTTGTTGATGCAGATATGGAGCTGCGAATTTATATAGTGACAATCCTTGGATTTTTTTGCTGGTTCACCAACGTGTTCAGTAAGTTTCTCTTTGTTGCTTGTTATTAATAATTACATTACTTAAAAAAAAATTAAAAATTCGAAATTCAAGTTCGAATTTAATGATGAAAAGTTTATTTAATCCATTGCTTGAAATTAAAAGACCTTTGAAGATTTACTGGCCGTTATACATATCTTAACTTAAAGTTACTTAACGTTACGTAGTACCTAAACTAAGTTCTTACTTGTTCTGTTAGGTGTCTATTAACTAAGTAACTTATAGGTTGGCGATAACCAAAATTTCGTTAAATGTCACCTATTTTAGCGGTTCTTTTAAATTTAGTAGAATTTGGTGAAAATGGACTGTAACTGAAAGATTAGGTCATCCAGTGCTACGAGAATGTGGTTTTCGCACGCAGTGCTTGAGGACCTGGGTGAGTTTTGATCGGTAAGAGTGACCACCAATCATCCTTAATTATACTCAGAAAAGGAAGCTCTAAGAGGATTTTACACCTTTAGTGCTATGTAACATTATTTTATAATAGTTATTCGTTTATTTATTGATAAGAATTATAATTAAATAAATATATATAACCTAAAATATAAATACCTAAAAACGAAACTATTTACACCTTAAAAAAAGATAAAAATGTTACCGTAAGGCATCAATGAATGTCGTGGTGGCCCGGAGGTTTAAGACGCCCACTTCTCATGCATGAGGGTGCGGGTTCGAAACCTACCATCGGCAAGTACCAATGTGACTTTTTCCGAGTTATATGTACTTTCTAAGATTATTGAGACACTACTGACAAACGGTGAAGGAAAAACATCGTGAGGAAACCTGGACTTATAATTTCTAATTATAAGTTTGAGATCGCCAACCCGCATTGAGCAAGCGTGGTGATTAATGTTCTAACCTTCTCCGTGTGAGAAGAGGCTTTGCTCAGCAGTGGGCATTTATAGGCTGTTGATGAAGGCATCAAAAAAAATGTTTACCTTAGTTGGTTTTCTTAGTTCAATCTGTGGTTCAATCATGTCTTAATACGACAGTCTACCATCAGTTATCAAGTCAGTGATTATGGAAAATTTTTCTACTAAATATCTTAAATAATAATAGATAGCAATATATCTAGTAGTTCAACACGTTTTACTGAGGTTAATGGTTAATATTGTTACTGTCATAGTAAACGATAGAAATATTTATTACGACAAGATAAGTAGGAAATTATCTCAATAAGTAATGATAAATGTAAATCCGCTACAAACATAAGCGTCGCAATAAGACATTGCAGCGTATAGTTAGTTGCAATTTTTCTATGTATAAAATATTTATTCAAACTTTCTAGGTATAAAATATTTTTCTGGTTGAGGGATTTATGTCTGTATTTACACTCCCCATAGACAAACGGTGGGAGTTAATAAGATGATGATAGATATTGAAAATTTACGAACATGAAAATATCAAAATGCAGTTTTCATAGTGATTTGAATTTTTGACATTGCAATTAACCATTGTCCCAAAAATGGAATAGTTAATGCAATGTACCTACTTATAAACAGCAAAATGAATTAAAACAACACAAAAGTTCTTAAACAAATAAATCATTGCTTGGAAGATGTCAAGTTTTTGTGACGATCGATATTAATCTACTACCTGCTGTTATTGAAGCTGTAAATAAGTAGTTACTTAACTCGTCGAGTACCGGTTTTATATACACAATTAAAGAACAATGGGTCGCGGTCACCGGTGACCGCTTGGTGTTTGACAGTTTAATGAAGTAATGTACAAAAAGCAACTAAATGTCGAATACGTCTGTTATAACTCGTCATCATAACATCACGCCTTTTCTCCCCCATAAGTGCACATTACAGAACTTATTTTTTTTATGGCATAAGCCGATAAACGAGTAGACGGATCCACCTGATGGTAAGCAATCGGCGCTGCCCATGGACCGAGACTCCTAGTCGCGCTTGCGACCACTCGGCTAACGAGGCATAATTTGTTTTACTTACTTTTATATCTACTGAAATCGATAACAACAAAGCTTTGTATCATTGTAAGTACCTACCCCATTTGTAAGCGGTTATTATAGTCTAACTAAACCAGACGAATACCAGACCCATCACGAATCACGAGCGGTTTATATTATTCTTAGCACCGCCATCATTTTCGGTTAACAATCCTTCCTGAAAATGACAGTCACCCCAAAAATCAAACCCAGAAACCGCTGTTTAACTGCCGTGTCTCTGATCTTACGTTGTCTGAATTCATCATTAAGTTTTTCAAACCATACTAGAGGCTCTATATGACCTTCTAGTATGGCTTGAATCTAGTCGAGTTGCTCATCAAATAATTACGTGAGTAAGTCGAAAAACATAATAATTAATTCAGTATGTCTCACTTAAGCTATGGTATAAATATAGTCTGAATTCAATTCAATTGTATCATCATCAACAGCCGGAAGACGTCCACTCCTGGACTGGCCTCCCCCTTAGTCCTCCACGTTGAACGACAACTCGCCACCTGCATCCACTGGCTCCAATTGTATCACTAGCTTTTAATTTACTTGTGAAGTCATTGATCCCATGGTAGGTACTTACCACCTATGTAAGGTTATGAGTAGGTGTATCATCTGCGAACAATAGATCGACAAAAAAGCCATGAATACAATTTGGCAAATTGTCAATTACAAGATGCAGGTTTGTTACCGACAAAAAGCCAGAATAATAATGATATAATCGGTGACAATGGGGATGATGACAGCGTATGAAAATTAAAAATCTAATTAGTCCGTCAGTTAGTAATGAAAAAATATTAGACAAGTATTTTTTATTTTGTCGTATAAGGAAACAATCCTTACTTATCCTTACTTAATATTATAAATCGGAAAGTGAGTTTGTTTGTTCCGCTTTCACGCCGTAACCACTAAACTGATTGCTTTAAATTTTTGCAGACGTAACGTTAGAAGTCCGGATTAAATAATAGGGTACTTTTTATCCCGGAAAAATTTTGATATTCCCGAGGGAAAACAAAAGTATTGGTATAGATGGCGCTGTATGTATTGGTATATGTCACATAGACTACTTTTTATCCTTTTGTGACGCGAGCGAAGCCGCGGGTAAAAGCTAGTATTTAGATAAAACGAATCAAAGTTGGAGGTAGCTACGTCATCTTAATCGTACTCAAAAGTGACGTAATTAACTAAGAAATGTTTATTGTATTCTATCAATGTAATAATTCTATGTTACATAAACATCTCCAGGTGTCCACATAACCAACCTAAATGGATCCTGTTTCCGTTGTCTCTGTCACGTAGCTGGGTGTGACATGTCCAGAGGTTGTAGCGAAGGGTACTGCGGCCCATTCTTCATATCCAGGGTATATTGGGTAGATGCTGGTAAACCGACCCTGCCTGATGACGATCCGGATAGGAAAGAAGGTGTGTACTCGAAAATGTTATATCGTACCAAATTACTATTTACTCAGATTTCAATTTAACTGAAAGTTGTCAAATATTAAATAAAGAAGCAAAACGAACAGAAAATCGTAAAGATGCGTGTGACGCGTGTTTAATTTTACATTTTTTTTTATTTTCAGCATTCGAAGACTGCGCCCGTGACTACCACTGTTCCATCAAAATTATCGAGAGCTACATGGCGAAATTTGGAAAGGTAATATTTAGTTTTCCTAGGAACTGTTAAGCTCACACATCAAAGTATTGAAACGAGAGCGCGTTCGGCGCTCTGGTTCATTGGCGCTGGCCAATCAGGGTGCTTACTCTTAAAACCAATCTCAATGTTAATGCAATTTCAATCAAATAAAATCTCAATAATGATTCAATGTCAAAACTATACAACCCCTATCGTAGCTGTTAAAATAGCCTTCAGAGTACGGAATACAAGGCCAAACTCAATACCATTTAGTTTATTAAAAATCCACGCAATACGGTTTTATTTAAGGTTTAGTATCGATATCTATTGTGTTCTTCTAGAGCGGTACCAATTGATGTGAACATAAGAATGTTTGTCTTTGTTCAATTTTTTTTTGATGGCTCTCATTCGTTCTCTCGTCATATCCGAACATCATCATCATTAGCCTGTTCTCGTTCACTTCTGGATTTGGGTTCTCCAATGGCACGCAACTGAACTTGATCTTCAGCTCTACGCATCCAACCACAGCCAGCCACTCCACCTAGCTGGAAGGCGCCCTACACTACGTTTGCCTAGACGCGGTCTTCACTCGAGAACCTATATCCGGACACCTGCTAATATTTATTATTTAAACAGAAATCTGTGTCATATTCCAGGACTGTAACAACGACGGAGTAACAGACTGCTTCGACTATATGCTGATCAACTACCACGGCGGCAGGGCCTGCTCCAAGCCACTGGTGCACACGCAGTCAGGCCGAAGGTGGCTGCAGGCTTATCGACAGTGTCGTTTTTGAAATCATATTGATAGATAATATTAACCTTATTTGACCACGTATTTTATGATATACATAAGAAGAGAAGGCTTCTGATATCTCTTCTTGATAATGAGTTTGATGATTTGTAGATAACACCTACTTAATAGAGGTGCGACTATTGTCAGTAATCCAGATTTTAATAAAGAAATGAATATTCGAATTGCTATATATAAAAGGATGAAAAAAATATCGACAAATCTAACTATGAGGTGCTATACTTCCATGAGTATAATGTGTAGTTATATCGGGATGGTTAGAACTGGCTGGTCGACATGAAGCAATGAATGAGACCTTCAGAACGACATGCAACCAGGCACTATGTACAGACATACCATGACAACTGACTATATGAACAAGATTTACTATAACAATACTCCAGAGGCTCATAATGTATCTAAATTACGAGAAACTCATTCCAGTACTATGAGGTATATCCTATACAAGCATAGCAAATAATTTAAATGTATATAAATAAAAATGAATTTCCGTTGGTCAGTCTCACTAAAACTCGAGAACGGCTGAAGCGATTTTTCTAATTTTGGTCTTAAAATGTTCAGGGAGGTTTAAAAGATAAGCAATAATATAGGTGGCACGAAGTTAGCCGCGTCAACTAATCCTTACTAATATTATAAATCGGAAAGTGAGTTTGTTTGTTTGTTCCGATTTCACGCCGTTACTACTAAACCGATTGCTTTGAATTTTTGCAGACATAAAGTTAGAAGTCTGGATTAAATAATAGGGTACTTTTTATCCCAGAAAAATTTGATATTACCGAGGGAAAACAAAAGTATTGGTATAGATGGCGCTGTATGTATTGATATATATCACGTAGGCTACTTTTTATCCTTTTGTGACGCGAGCGAAGCATATAAAACAAATGATACGCTATAATTAAACGTAAGATTAACTTTATTAGTAAAATACATAACATCAGTCAAATAATGCTTAAGCTACGAATTAATTTATTAGAATTTATAATTATTACAATTCATACTATCAATATACATACAGACTTAGGCTAAGATCGATGTGAAATGTTATATTTCCATTTCATAAAGAACATTTACGTATTTCTTGTAACCTTAAACACATACTAGACCTATATACAATGTTTCAATTACTCCTGCAGTACGATCTCCTTTTTCTTAAACATAATACAATCAAGCCAATGCGAAGGTACTCTAATAATAACCCAAGTTTAAATTAATTTGATAATATACAGGTGTAAACGGAACGCTTCCGAAAAACGCTGACAAAAATAATAGTTTTTAAAATTTTAATCGTTTGTTTACATGTTATTCATACAACGTCAGCCTTGAGCGATTATTTACAACAATGATTACATAAAGGAAACATTTAATTCCTTACTTTCATGAAAATAAAACTGGTTTTTGACCATAATCTATCAGCGTTTTTCGGGAGCGTTCTGTTTACACCCTGTATCTAATTAAAATTATGCAATATAAAAATATAACTTATTTACCTCTTATTTCTAAATATTATAATAGGATAATTTATGTATTAAAGTTATTATAATTGCCAAATTGCGTTTTTATTCGATTCGTTTCAACTCTGTTTAAAACGTGAGATCTATTTCGTTTTCCTGCAGCAAAACAACTTGCTGTAAAGAGTACTTTCGACTTATAAAAAGATGTCATTTTTTGAAATTCAAAAAGTTTTCCATAGAAATAGGCTCATGAAACCCTAGACGTAAATTTACGCACGCACTTCCCACGTGCCACCTGACAAGGGATTCAACAATTCATCATTCATCATCTAAAATTCATTTTCAAGAATTACATGCTGTGATGTAAGTAGGTAACTATGAGTTCGTATGCGCTTCAGACGCTTGCTTTTTGCTGTTAACCTGTTGTTTTTTGTTTTAAACATTAATTTTCTTTGTAAAACTATTGTGTTACCAAGACAGAACCATTTTACTTCGGAACAAGAACGAAATAGATTTCACTGTGTGTGTTATTATCCACTCTACGACTAAAAATATCGCATTAATATTTAATTTTGTTATAGGTAGGGCTCTGTCATATTAAAAACTAATAATTACGTATACTCTGCCTGGTTTCTGAAAGTCTAAATTGGAGTTTGATTAATAGTTCTTACAATTTCACCTGAGGTCGAAACACTGGCCATGGGGTACCAGTGTACATTATGTTTATAAAGAAATTGCCCGTAGGCTAATCGACTCTACTCGTGATCTGGCTGGCTATTTCTTCGGACAGAAAATAAGCATTGTCATTCAACGTGGCAATGCTGCCAGTCTTCTGGACATGTTCTTCAGTGATGGTGATGCGGACGAATACTTTGACGCCTAAATTAAGGGTATAATTTTTGTTATTTTCTTTTTTTTACTTTCGTTTTATTTAATAGTTTAGTTGTAGTTAATTTTAAGTTGTAAATATTTATGTAGTTATATAAATTATGTTACTAGTATATTTATTCATAATATTATCTGATAAATATTTCTTACAATTTCACCTACGCTAGGCAAAATCGGTTAACGAGTTTCCCATCTTAAGGAGAAGAAGTTTAGAAGTTCAGAAACCAGGACTCCGTATTGTACGTAATTAAAATTATTCTTTATTCTACGCTTATAAAATAACTATGCGAAGGATACGAGTGGAGCTGGTGACTCCCAATCTTCACTTTCGATCTCCTCATCAGATTCTTCTTGAAAACGGACCTGAAAAAATAATTGATTGAATATATAATAAAGCTAATTAAATACTATACAAAAAAATAACAAACGGTATCGCCATCCCTACAATTTTGAAAAGTTCCCCTTGGGATGAGAAACTGGACAGACAAACATCATGAGATCCTGACCTGATATTAATGGGACCACTCCGAGAGCATGACCAAAAACGATACTTTTCTATGAATTTCATTTTGGATCGCAACTTATGACGTCATCATATTTCTGCGTCAAATAGCATACTTATTTCTTTAAAAATTATCGAGAAAAAATCCAAAAGTAGGTAAATTGTCAAATCAATAGATGAGAGTATGATTATTTTTTAATTATCTATTGCATTGAAAAGTTAAAACATATTATTTTAAACCTAGAAAACTAGCCAATTAGGCTTACTAATACAATTTTAGTTAATAAGTAGTTCTTGTTATTAATAAACTAGCTTTTACCCGCGGCTTCGCTCGCGTCACAAAAGAATAAAAAGCCAATGTGACATATTATACCAATATACACACAGCGCCATCTATACCAATACTTTTGTTTTCCCTCGGAAATATCAAATTCTTCAGGGATAAAAAGTACCCTATTATTTAATCCGAACTTGTAACTTTACGTCTGCAAAATTTCAAAGCAATCGGTTTAGTAGTTACGGCGTTAAAGTGGAACAAACAAACTCACTTTCTGATTTATAATATAAGTAAGGAAAGTAAGGATTACAAGCACCTATATCAAGTTGAATAAAGAGTATCAGTAACTTACCCAAGGAGCTAGCCGTTTCCCATCTGATCCGAGGGAACTGCCTTGATTTAGGTTCGCTTGCCATGCCTGGAATTAAGTTAATAGTATTTAAGTTTAACAAGAATTTGAAAAGGACGCCATTATAGTACTTCGAACTGGAATTGGTTTTTATATACCACGGTATATCACAGAAAACCGACGTGAAACAATCGAAGCGTTGTATTGCGTTATGTGAGTGAGATTACTGAAAGTCCAATTACTCCCTCCCCAATCTCCCCGATCCCCGAATCCCAAACAATCCTCAAATTTTTATCCCCGAAAAAACCCGGCAACGGGCTTTTTTTGGAATACGAGGTAAACGAGCCGACGGATCACCTGATGGTAAGCGATCAGCGCTGCCCATGGACACCCGCAACACCAGAGAAGTCACAGGTGCGTTGCCGGCCTTTTAAAAAGGAATACGCTCTTTTCTTGAAGATTTGAAGGTCGTATCGGTTCGGAAATACCGCCGACGACTTGTTTCATCTCTGGTGATTCGGGTGTCCAATGGCGGCGCAGATTTATTAACATCGGGTGATTTCAAAAAATGTGAACTTCTGCTATTGCTAAAGCCAAGGTACAAGGAAGGTAAACAGTACAGTGCTTATTTCTAGAAAAATTGATCTATACCTGGTAAGCATCATTGAAGGCGTGTGCGAGAGACAGTGCAAGGGCCCTCGCATGTCGTCTCCTAGTGCACACAAACACATGCACCACGTGGTTCTCCGCTGACCCTCCTATAGGCTTTCCTTCTACCACCGCGAAGACACGAGCATTGGCAGCATCAGCTGAACAGTAGGAGATTCTGGAAACATTTGTGCATGACTTAAAATAAAAAAATCAAGAGAGTTTGTGAGTAAAGGGATTCCAAAGGGATCCTTGACTAGACAAACGTTGTATCGGTTTGAATAAGAATTTTAATAGTAGACCCATCAAACCCAAAATATTCAATTTTAAAATAATGATTAAAGCTCTCTATAGCAAAGAACAGTTTTTAAACTGAAATGTAAAGTCGTTATCGTCATCAGCTCTTTAGAAACAGTTGTATTTTACGATCCATTTTATTTCACGTAAACAAAATCTATGGAGCTGGAGCACCCCTTATTTACTTATGACACTTCACACGTCTCCCAAAAACCCGAAACCTATGGCATCGTAATTGAGAAATACATAAAATAATAGCTGAATTTTTGTTCTGTTTTTTATTTTATTTTAAATATTTATTCACCTTTTTTTCCTTTCTTTAAATAATTTTCTTGCCGTGTGCCTATTTTTTATATATTTATAATTTTAATTTTTTCTTAGCTGTTACCTATTAAGTCAGTATTCGTGTGAATCTGTGACTAAGCTAAGTAATGTAGCTGTTGATTCAACATAAAAAAAAAATAAAAAAAAACGAAAACGGAGATTCTCAGTTTGACTGATCTGTATGTGTAAGTATGTATGAATGTTTGTGCGCGAATATCTCGCGATTTTGATGCGGTTTTTAAGAAAAGGAGAAGGTTTTAGAATTTTTTTTTTTAAATAAAAGAACCTTGCGCCACATTAAGATTTTCTCCTGTATCGTGGGTGCGTTTATAAACATACAAGTTCATATACATGACACCCAGACCCGGAACAACAATTTGTGGATCTCACAAAGAGTGCGGAAATCGAACACGCGGCACGGCAGCCAGATGCCTAGCCACCACACTAAGCGTGCAGTCCCGACTTCAAAAAAAAGAGGATGTTGAAGTCGGTTTTTAACGTAGTTTATAATTATTAATAAGTAAGCAATGTAACATTGTATTAACTATTAATCAATCACTACGAAGAAAGCCAACTTCCTAAGGATAACGAACTCATATTACGACTTTGTTAACTATTAACATTTATTGCAACCATTTATTTTAACAAGCATCGATAATATTGTCAACGTCTTGTTAATTAATAATTATTATTTTTGTTTAGATAATTTTGTAGGTCATATGTAGACCATTAATCTTAGTTAATCGATTATGTTTTTCTTCCCGTACCAGGCACCAGTCGGTTGCAATCTTGTTGGCATTGAGATAGATATGATGAGTTCGTGTTATCTATTCCCAGTTTCGATGCCCTAAATAGGGGATTTCTGAATAGACGTATTGCTATCGTTAATATTATGAGCACTAGTAGTAGCTACCTATTTGAGCGAATTAAGTCTTTATTATCTTGTTTTCAGTAGTTTTAAAATAGATACATGTTCTGAAATAAAATATTTTACATACATACATACATCATGCCTTTTATCACCGAAGGAGTAGGCAGAGGTGCACATTATGCTACTGTACAATGTAACACCCACTTTTCACTATTAATGTTATGGATCCTTTGTAATAGAAGGCCTATTGCCAATTGCCATATACCGGGCACAATTCCAGACTCCGTACTACTACTGAGAATTTTTTTAAAACCCAGTAATACTTTGCCCGACCCGGGAATCGAACCCGAAACCCCTTGCCCGGCAGTCGCCCTTGCGACCACTTGGCCAACGAGGCAGTCATATAAAATATTGTCTTCTGATCAAATAGAGTCTCAATGGATTAAAGGACTCGGACAAAGTGTTACTTCTCGGATGTAACACTTTGTCCGAGTGTTACATCCGAGAAGTAACATGTGTAGATTCTGCGCCTGCGTATACGTTACATTTTATTTATTCGTTTTATACTTGTAGGATCCTCGTTAATATTAGGTAAGTAAGTTATTGTATATTATACCTATGTCCTACTTAGAAAACCGAGCCGACATAAGTAGGATTGTGGTTTCAAATTCGACAAGTACCGGGAAAAGATAAAATAATATTAAATGACTTTACAAATTTCATAGCAACAACGATAAATGTAGAAAATGCTTTACATTTCAGTTCTGAATAAGACATTGAGGAAAATTATATGTAAATATTATGAGAAGTTCAGCTGTAAGTGATGAGGAAATAGATAATAATAATATTTTATGTGTTTTTACCTGTAAATGGAGACGCTTAGTACGTTTTCCTGTGACTCAGCATCACTCACGACGATGCCCTTAGCACTGATGTCCAAGTTCACTCGCTGCAGCTTTTTGTTTAACACTGAAATTGGTCAAATAAAAATTACTAGGTTTTACCCGCGGCTTCGCTCGCGTCACAAAAGAATAAAAAGTAGCCTATGTGACATATACCAATACACACAGCGCCATCTATACCAATACTTTTGTTTTTCCTCGGGAATATGATTTTTTCCGGGTTAAAAAGCACCCTATTATTTAATCCGGACTTCTAACTTTACGTCTGCAAAAATTCAAAGCAATCGGTTGAGTAGTTACGGCGTGAAGGTGGAACAAACAAACAAACAAACAAACTCACTTTCAGATTTATAATATTAGTAAGGATTTACAGTGATATGTTATAAGTTGCATAGCCACCTACCTAATATAGTTTCAGTCAGCTAATATCTGCAACCCAACCGATTCCGGAACAAGAGTGTGACATGAAAATAAGTACCGACTGGATTTTGGGAAAGTATTATAATTTTATGATAATTCATGCTATTCATGATGCTCCATTACTTAACAATGCGTAAAATAAAAGCTCACCTACCAACTATGTTTTAAAAGCGGAAGACAAAACAAAAACCAACAAATTCGACCAAAACACAGTTATCGAACATTTAGCGAGACCTCTGGACCCTAGCTCACATAATGTTCTTGACCGGAATATACCAAGTGGAGATATCTCATCTCAAACCGTTCTATAAATAAGACAATAAATCAATGTTATGATATAATATTGTTTTATGACCGCAGACCTCTTTTGTAACCTCAGTCAGATTCATTCACAATCATTGTTACGATGCAGGTATAAAAAATAATGTAATCAGTTACTTAAAAGGAACTTGTCAATTTAATTTTCGGTGCTCCTGTCATTAGAGAAGTGTCTCAGGGAAAATCAGACGTCACGATATTGTATCACCCCACTCTATGTCAGATGTGAAGGATATAAAGTGTGTGAGAGCCATGCTTCGGAACGAATGGGCCGGCTCGACCGTATTGATACCACGGCCTCACAGAAAACCGACTTAAAGCAACGCTTGCGTTGTGTTTCGTCGTGTGAGTGAGGTTACCGGAGGTCCTATTACCCTCCCCTTCCCCAATCTCCCCAATCCCTGAATCCCCAACGATCCTCAAACTGCCGGTAACACACTTGTAACGCCTCCGGTGTTCCAGGTGTCCATGGACGACGCCGATTGCTTACCATCAGGTGATCCGTCTGCTCGTTTACCGGTTTATGTCATAAAAAAAAATACTCCGTTACGTAGATTAGCTACTTACCTACTATATTTTTAACAATGCACAAGCTTTTCTTTAGTGTTAGTAAGAGATGACTTCATATTAGTCCATACCTATGTAAGTACCTATAACTACAAGATCAATATTCATAATATTATAAATAGGATTTATTTACGATGCAATGCAATTTATGTTACTACAACTAGACCAAGTGTGACAATAATAATTTTCCTTTGCATTACCAACAAATAAATTATTCATTTCTTAATGGAACAAGCCCGCCACAACCTCCCAAAACCGCTGCAACTCCTGTATGCCAGGATCTGCAGTAGACATTACCATGAACACACAGAAACACTGAAGTCTGGCGCGTCCTACTAGGGACATGAATAACTGTCTTCGATCCCGCAACGAAATAAATCAGAAGATATTCATAGAGGAGAAGAAACAAGAAAATGCGATACTTTACACTTACGAAATGAATAAATGTTCATTTACGTACATTTAGCTGAAAATAAAGCTGATTTGACGGCGAGTGCAGTTGCAGGCGCTGATGCAGCTCGTTCGACGGGCGCTGCTCCTGCATACCTGACGTCCATGTCACCAGGTCCTGAGTCCCGAGCCTCTCGCCACCAACCCTCCCCCTCACACTCAGCTAAAGCCCATTCCTCACACAACTCTGAAAAATAAAACTCTGATATTAATTTTATGTTCCTGATATGACTAATTTTTTTATTGACGTATTATTGGTGATTTTCTGGTTTCTAAAAATCTAAAACTGTAGGCACATTGTTTACATTGGTCATCTAGCACAATATATATGTTAAAAACAAAGCACTAGGTATTTTCCATATTCCATGAATCATTATGATATGATTGTGGTTTAACTTGAAACGCCATGTAAGTTGCACAACTTCTAGTTATCAACTTCCATTAACAAAGACAGGAGCAAAGTTCATAGTTTAGTTTTAGCTGTGTAAAAAGAGTGCCTATACTTAGTAGGCCCCAGAATATAGCCTTGAGGAACACCACTTAATTATAGTACAATGGTAGCAGTTTTAAAAATCTGATCAGTAGCTGACGCTGCTTAAGTTACTTAAAAACTATAGAGTATCTTAATAAAATATCTTTTGGAATGAGGACTAATTATGTAATTAAAGTTAACACAAAATGAAAATTCAATACTGTCAAATGCGTCTGTATAATCTCGACAAATAACATAAACATTTATTTTTACGCACCATAAACATAGGTACTATAAATATTATGATGAAAAATAATCATCTCACACTGGAAACAAAACACGACCTACGAGATTAAATAATAATTACACACGCTTTACAAAACAAAATATTTATTAAGTTGAAGTAAACGTGAACAATTGACAGATAAATTGTTCTATTTTTATGTAGGTTACACTTATAGTTACAATTATTACTTCAGTTTGATAGACACTCTCATAATACGGTCGTAGTCACCTGACAGGCGACAATAATTTTAACTGAATGACTGATTGTAGTAATCGCAGCACATCAAGCTACTCCAGTTATTTGATTTTCGATTTTATCATAGAACAATATAAAATTGAAAATCTAATAACCAGATTGGTTTGACCTGAAACGGTGGCTGTAGAGGCGAGATGAGATAGAGGTACTTAGCCATTTTTCTTTAGATCTACTAATATAGAAGCTCGACTGGATTCATAAATACTATCAAGAAATAATAATACATTATTACTGAGAGTTATAACTCAGTGGTTAAACTATAAATCTGTAATTAATAGCTAACTCTTCCATCCCTTAATCTGTCGGCTATTACACAGACAAGTTATGAAACTTGAATATAAATAGCTAATGTATGTTACCATAAAGTATCGCTAGCGCGACATTGATTAAACCCTACTGAGAAAATAACAAAAATGAACTTGGAAACAGACTTACGACAAAGTTTCTAAATAGGTACATAAGACGCAATAAAATTTGGCTTTAAAAAAACTCATTTTACGGCTCTGTGCCTAAAAGATGAAGCCATATTTTCTCAAACGCTTTGTTGTCCGTGTATATGTGTGCACTGAAGAAAAAAATAGGTTCTCAAACCTCAAACCGGTAAACAACCTCCAGAAAAATTCTGTAGGAAGCTTACAAAAAAGAAGTACAGAACAACTCTTCGTGTAATCCACAGATTGTTGTTCCAGGTCTGGGTGGCATGTGTATGTGAACTTGTATGTTTGTAAATGCACCTATGACACAGGAGAAAATCCTAATGTGGGGCAACGTTAAAAAAATATACAGACAAACTTAAGCTATCTCTGCTTTAATATATCTGTGCTCTGATCAAAGGCAGGCCGGTCGCCGGATGGTATTAAGATACGTAGTTAGGTAAACAGGCCCTACTATCGCGTATTTACTTCCTACTTGATAGTATCTATCATTAATTAATAACAACTTACATAAGCTTACGCAATAACAACAAACAATAACGTGTCGTAAACAACTGTCAAATTCAAAAGTTGTAAGTAACATGTAGCATTTATAAGTCTCTAATCCTAACTGCGTCACAAGGGCGCGAAAACGCACAAAATGGCGGCAATCAGACAACTATTTTAGAGATATCACAATACATCTAGGCCAGACGGGTGGTATCGATAGTGAAGTAGGCCATAGGTCAGTTATTAGGCGTAATAAGTTGAACGAAACACCGCCACTGATGCGTACGAGTGCCTGATAAACTTATGATGCGTTTCTGCAAACTGGTTCGAGCTGGTTTCCTAGTAGATGTAAAGGAAATTAATAATAATTTACATGTGATCGTATTGCGTTAGAACTTTAAAATGCAGTTGTTTGATATGAGTCTGGGCTGTACAATACTATCTCGCATCTTTGTCCAAGCAATTGAGGGTAGGTAGAAACTACGCGCCGAGCGCCATATAAAATGATATATTTTATTTTACACGCAATGCGCGTTCAATTAAAAACGGACGCATCAAATGTAACAACAAAACTTCAAACTACTTAGTTAAGTATATATATATATATATATCTATCAGGGGTTTCATATCGATAAAAGCGCTGTAAAATTAATTAATCGCTTCAACAAGACTTCTCCCAACAAGCTTTCACGTTTAGTTTTTGCGCAGAAGTTACGCTTTGGCTAGATAAGTGCAACGTTTTAACAAGAATGCTGGCCGCACCGTTTAGCTGGCTCATTCTCCATTTGATCACAGCCTTTCCATTCAATTAATAATTTATCACTTAGCGAGAAATATCACGAAGCTACTTTTTTTTAATACTTGAATTACAGGTGAAAAATATCGGTCAGTGTTATGAGAATATTGGTCGGCGAGACTATGGGTCCTAATACAAGTTTTTTTTTTATCTCGGTTACTATTTAAGTACTGTGTAATAGGGTAGATGCCTAATTTTTATTTTAATGTCCGTCTGGTAGATTATTTTAAATTATTAGACACGTATTTTTTATTTTCTTACAGAAACGAATAGCTTCGACGACATATTGATTTGAAATGTCACGTGACGTCACTTCTATGTACACAAAGCACCGCTAATTAGTTAGCGGCGCTACACATCGACACAACTATCATTTACACAATATACATGTGTGGGTAATTTCATATCAATAGATATGTATAGAAACATTCGTCTATCACACACATCTTGGTATTTAAAAATCATTTTTGTGTCGGTATACGCAATAATTTAGTAAATAAGTTAAAATAAAAACGAGGGTAAAGATAAAATTACTCATAACAAACTTTGAATAAATCGAAATCAAAAATAATGAACGATCGAGCTATACAATACCCATATAAATATAGTGCTTTCTCATTGTAATTTTATGTTACTGAATGATATAAAATATTTCGATGATCTCATCTACAGCACGCTTGGCGCAATGGTTATCGCCTCCAATTGTCAAGTAAAGTGCCGCCGGATCGATTCCAACGTTCACATGTTGTTTTAGAATTAATTTATCAAATATTTGAAATTAGAAACAATTAAATCTTTTCTTTTTTTTCCTTTCCTATTGTTCTAAATCTTATGTTAATTTTAATAGTAAATACTTTAGATTTATTTATACCTATAATATCTTTTATTTATATTTTAGTTCTAGTTATTTATTATTTAGAATAATCTCATTTGCTTCATGCATTTCAACCAACTTAAATAAGATAAAAACAGTAAAAAAGTAATTAACTGTGATTTCTTAATGGTTCGATACCTGAGTATATTTGCAATGTTTGTGGCGACCATAGAAATCTCGAGTCATTTTATTTTACACGCTTATGAAGTAACTACCGACTATTTAAAACATGTTTTTCAAATCACCCGACTTACAAAATAATTGCGTTCTTAGTTGTCAATTTATGAGGATTTCATAGTTTATTGCTACACTACTTATATTCGTGTGCAAAGTTATTTTTATTTTTACAAGATGTTCCAACACCTATCAACATTTAAAAAGGCTGAAACCATTGTTTTGCATGAGCAAAACATAACTAACAATAACTGAAATAGCAAGGCGTTTAATGATATCGGTGAGTAAATAAGATACTACGTTGATATTCTAAATAATATTTATTTCATTTTGTAACTCGACACACCTATCAATTTTTGCACTAGAATAAAATAATTATTGCAACTTATTATGAAGTTCAATATTATAAAGATATATTAATAATTTATTATTAATTGTATTGTAACTTGACTTGTTTTTGTTAGGAGTGTTTCTTTAAAACATATCTGGTTAGGGATTTTTATTCCTTACGCCACTACTTAATTATAAATTATTATTCTAACATTGTGTTTACTTATATTTATTATTATTTTTAAATAACTTTAATTCCTGTAAAGTATTTCCTGGTATTTTAAATACTTATTTGTTTGGTATCAACAGAGGAGATCCATGCAGTTATGGGTGCACAGATATGCGGAGACCGGTGACGTTAAACATCGTCGACGTGGGCCTAAACCAAAGGCAAATTCATCGGCTCGGCACTACGACATCGTAGCCAGGCACATGGCTGATCCGTTCCTGCCAACCCGCACTACAGCGACAGCACTGAATGTTTTAATACAAACTGTACGGAGACACCTGCATTCTGGTTTAAGGTGCAGGAAGCCAGAGAAGAAAATATTGTTATCTGTGGTTCACCAGCAAAAGCGCTAAGAATTTGCTAAGGACTTTATTACTTTGATTGGGCGAACAGTGTAATCATATTGAGCGACGAAAAGACTTTCAAGTCGGATAAGGATGGGCGTAAAATATTGTGAAGAAAAGATGGAGAAAGGTATACGAATTGCAACCTTCTGCCTTGTAGGATCAGTGATTGTATTGATTTCGGAATCAATTATTGAGCCTGTCAAACTCTGCCTTTATTAAAATTAACATAAAATAATGTTTAATTTTTTTAAGAATATTAAAATGCTGTCTAGAACATACGGTGAAGTGATGTTATTGTTTTGTGGTTAGAAATTGTCATAATTTCTTTCTATTCAACATGTTTATTCACTTCACTTTAATTTTTCATTAACAAATTTATTTAACTGCTTTCGAACTTGATTGACATATTATATTTACGCCCATCTTCAATTAATTTAAAGTTTCCCTGATTCTAAAGGTCATGAAAGTTAAAATCGTTCCATAGCATTCGTCACATTCTTTTTACTATCATACAGCCCACTGAATATTGAACCTTATAACAACCGTCGTAAAATAGATAATTAATGGAAGTTCAAACGACAAAAAGTCGCCCATTTCAAGAAATATTATGTTGACAGTGTAATTTTTTACATGTTTTACTTGTTTATTACTGTAAAACTGTAATTTAATAATACATTATATTATTAAATTACAAAACAAGAATGTTGTATATTTGTTTATTACCTACTTAATAAAAAACGTTGCTGCCATCGTATTACCGCTGTACCGCATGATATTTCCCGATTCGACTATGAGGTTTATTGTCATATCTATTAATTATGATTTAAAGAACTTTAAACTTAACATGTGGTATATAATTAATTATTAGATATAAATATTGAATATAAAACAACATATTTGTATAATAAATAAATTAATTGTAATAAAAAATAGTATTGTTTTATTTTAACTCATTTGCTTCTTTTATAGCCTGATATTTATATTTTATGACAAAAAACAAAAAAAAATAAGAAAAATAACAAGGTAAAATAAAATTAACTTTTAGCTGGAATAGAACCCACATCATTGATCCTTGAAAGACGATAAAAGCGTGCTCATTAACCAATCGACCACGAGCACTACGATAATGACAGTGAAAATGTCGGGTCATATCAATGATTGTAAATAGTTTTAACCTTACCTATGCATTAAATTATAAAAATACGTATACCGACACAAGAATGAAAAAACCAATGTGAACGTGGTGGACGAATATTTTTATATACAGTTATATGAAATTACGCACACATGTACACTGTGTAAATGACAGTTGTGTCGATGTGTAGCGCTGCAACTAATTAGCGGTGCTTTGTGTACATTTTATACGTAGAATTAACGTAGCCCCCACTCTTAAACTTTGATTCGTTTTATCTAAGTATTATTTCAATATACAACAAAAAAATAAAAAAATACGTGTCTAATGTTTTTTCATTACCTAACTTACGGACTAAATAGATTTTTCATTTTCATACCCTGTCATGTGTCATCATCCCAATTGGTGTACAAAACTATCTAAGTCATTTACCTAATTTGTTTTTCTTTAAGTACCTAGGTACAACTAAGGTTTAAATGACAATCTTTTTTTTAAGGTCAGAGCCTGTATTCCTTCCACAATCATCCATGTTTACAATAAAGACCAACATTCCAAAATAAAGTCGCCCTTTACAAGTTAGTGTGTCTCTTCATGGCTTAAACGCCTTCCACAATTCATACATACACAACATCACGCCTTTTATCCCCGAAGGGGTAGGCAGAGGTGCACACAGAAGTAACACCCACTTTTCACTATTTATGTTATGAGTCCCGTGTAATAGGGGGTGACCCTATTGCCATATACCGGGCACATTTCCAGACTCCGTGCTACCATGTTTTTAAACCCAGTAATACTTTACCCGACCCGGAAATCGAATCCGAGACCCTTTGCCCGGTAGTAGCACTTGCGACCACTCGGCCAAAGAGGCACAATTCAATGAATAATTCTTTACCTATTTTGTACCTTTTTACGAGTGTAACTGCGTGTGCAATATTATATTGCTTGACTAAGAACTAGGGAAGGAAGTAAGATGTATACTTCTGATATGACCTATCGACAGAGGAGACCCGTCTGTCAGTCTGATGATAACGTTCTCTTTGTGAACATTTCGCCGCGATGCAATACAAGTAATTAAAGTGATAATTATTGAACAGATCACTTGAGCTTCGCCGCTTTTTAACCTAATTGTGACACTGATGATAGACGATTATCTGAGTACATTAGGTATGTCATGGACTCAATGTAAGTTCATGTGGCGAGATAGTGGTCAAACGTCGCCCCATCAAATATAAAAAAAAATGTGCACAGTATGCAGAAGTAAGGAGAAAGGTGCTATAAAATGTTTTCCGCTAGGTGTTAAGTTTAATTACCACAAGAATTGATACTAAAAGACCATGTTTTTATAATAATAAACGGAAAACACAAAACTAAACTAAAAACAAACTAAAACTTAACTAAAAATTGAGACATACTATACAGTACTCCGTTTAGTTTACTCTGCGCGACGTCGCCACGACCGCGCACGCTGCTCATGAGGAAGAACCCCTCTGTAGTTCGAAACTAGTAGAGCTTTTCTCAGTATATTCACGTGAGTAACCCGCGATTTTTAGTTAATAAAAGACTTTTTACCTGAGCTGAGTGGAACGTAGATAAATAAAATTAATACCCAGTACCAAACCTCAATATGCATAAAAACCCTATATCTTCAGCTTTTTTAATGAGCATATAAAAACTTATCCTGACTGCTTGTACAAGTAGAGTACTTTTCACAAGTTTCCTTATCAAATAATTATACTTTCTAATGCGATCCCGTTACCCTAGCTCTTGAAAAAAGCAAAACAACTTGACATTATAGGCAAGACGCGCAATCACCTCTCATTTCACCGCATACATTGCCGCGTTTGTTCAGACATAATCCCGTAGACACCTAACACAATGTGCTATGTAGTATAAAGCTGGTATTACGGGCAACTTTTTTCGCTGTCACCCATTTAAGGCTTAGCGAGAGCTCCTAATTCCGGAGTAATTAGAGAAACTTGCCCCGGAGATGGTCTGTGGCCTTTTGCGACGCGAGTAAGGTTCGTACTCGGAGCCTTTAATGAAGACGTAAAAAGGTGAACGCAGAATAATTGAGTGTGCCATTAAATGTGAACGCAACCTGTCTAGTGTCTATGTTCTGTGGTAATTTGAAAATGGGCGCGCAAACAGGTCCCTGAGGCCAAGTTTGTATTACGTTTAAAGTAAGCGAAACGAGTAAGCGTTCGGCGCCCTGATTGGCCGGCTCCAATGAATCAACCAATCAGAGCGCCGAATGCAGTCACGTTTTGATTACTTTTAACGTAAAACAAACTGGTACTAAGACCTCTGTTATAACTGCACATTACGCTGTGATTAATGAAAAAAGGAAATTATGGCGCGGTTTTCCATTTTCGTGTTTGATGTTATTAAAGATAGTTTTATATTAATTTAATATCGTTGGTGTGAGTAGCGATTGCATTTACGTATTAAATGTATTTGATATAAGATTTATAGGGTGAGAAAATATTTTATTTTTGGACTTCTGGACCTATCACTATCACTACATAGTACCTACTTGTAAAACAAAGTCGCTATCCGCCGTCTGTCTGTCCCTATGTATGCTTAGATCTTTAAAACTACGCAACGGATTTAAATAGATAGAGTGATTCAAGAAAGGTTTATATGTATAATCAATCCATAAAGCACACGCGTGAAGCTGGGACGGGTCGCTAGTAATAAAAAAACTAGCTTCCTTCCGTTCTTTTCAGCCTCTTCGTAGGAAATGCCGAATTTCTGTAATAAACTGATGACCCACTTTAAGCCAGTTATGGTTTTAATTCAATCCTATTAACATAGAAATCCAATAGATTAGTGCATAACAGCATAACCCATAATCGAACTTGAGACTATGTATCCAATCGCATATCTTCACTAACTAGGTATAGATCGCACAGCACCAAGAATGAAAATGATTATAGCTTAGAATGAAAACCACTTCCAAAGTCTCTTCTACCGTACCCATAAAACCTATAGGTTGCTTATGGGAAGACATGCTTCATCATAGACCACCGTAGACATCGCTTACCACCAGGTGAGATAGTGGTCAAACGTCGGTCCATCTAATATATAAAAATAATTTAGACTTAGGGCCGATTTTTAATCATCAGTTAATTTTTAACAGTACAGTATAATTGTTATTTGACAAGTACGGAAGACTGCCTCGTTTAACGGGTTACCGGGGCTCCGGCTCGACGTGCAGGAGAAGGAACGGGGTGGTTTTTAGTCAGTAAGAGTCTAACACTCCCTCCCGCCTCACCCGGGCGGGAGCAGTAATTCGATGATTCCCCCCCCCCCCTTAAAAAAAGCTAAGTGGTCGCAAGTGCGATTGTCGGGTAAGGGGTCTCAGGTTCGATTCCCGGGACGGGCAAAGGCAAAGTATTACTGGGTTTTTAAACAAAACTCAGTAGTAATACGGAGTATATGGCAATAGGCTCATCCTCTATTACATGGGTGGGACTCATAACATAAATAGTGAAAAGTGGGTGTTACATGGTGCATTGGCATTATGTGCCGTAATGTGCACCCCTGCCTACCCCTTCGGGGCTAAATATGAGCATTAAAAAATCGTCCCTTATGTACCTAAATTATGTTTAACTCAAAGTTTTCTTATTTCAACCTATCGTTCATAGGTAAGCTTCGATCGATAATATCGATTCGAGGTAAGTAAGTATATTATTATATAATTAAACAAGGGCAATAATAAAATTAATATTTAGGAAAAAATCGGTGTTATAGGTATAAGAACTTATTTTTTTTTTCTAAATTATGTAAGGAAATAAATGTTCCTTGTTGATCTAAGTTATAAGTACCTACCTAATCCATTTATTTTTAATTTAACTCGTCGAGTACCGGTTTTATAGACACAATTAAAGAACAATAGGTTGCGGTCACCGGTGACCGCTTGGTGTTTGACAGTTTAATTCATTATAACACAAATAACTGCTGCACAGCACGTTCGTAGTTTAATGTATAAAAAAAAACAAAATAAATAAATGTAATAAATTACTCACTTTTATGCTTGGAATGGGTCTTCCACATTTTTCTTAGAAGCATCGTCATTTTCGAATATCGAATACGAACTTAAAAAAAAAAATATTTAATGGCGGAACGACTTTTCCCGCGCGCGGTTCCCGATAAACTGCTGTGGTTTGTAAACTCAGAGAGCACATGCAATGTGCACGATCGACCCTTTGCCGTTTGAAAAAGAGGACAACACTATAATGACGCGACGAGATCGAGTACGTAGGTAATTATAAATAATATATTTTATTATTTATTTTACGCATTATCATACTCTTTTACGGCGCAAACCGAAACTAGGCACTTAGACTTAACTATAAAATACAGGGATTATACTTTTATGCATAATAAATATTATTTATAGGTACGATAACAATGTAATAATAAATAGGTACATACATAAAAACGTTAGTTACAGGAGCATTACCTATCTAGTGTGCGCATAGTGCCGTCTTTACCAGAGTACTCGGGGCCCGTGCCCAGGGCCCCAATCCTCAGGCGGCCCCGAAAGACCGACAATTTCTAAGACGAAGACACATTCGGTACACGTTGCGCGGCAACCGGCTGCACCGCAACTTATAGCGGGTTCGATTCCCGCACGGAACAATTCTTTGAGTGATCAACAGATTGTTGTTCCGTGTCTGGGTGTCATGTGTGTGTGAAAATCCTAGTGTGGGGCAACATCAAAAAAATACAATACATAAAAGGACTACGAATTATTGTATGCCTAAAGGTCCCAGCGTAGTTTAAGACGGCCCTAAGTGTGTGAAGAAGTCATGTATTTAATTATCAGTCATCATGACCCACCTTACTTCCTTACCCGTACCTTTTTTTTTGCTGTCGGTGGGACTACCATACCCCCACAAATTCGACTGCCGATCCCCTTTTTACAGATTCAATTTCCACATAAATACATTTTAATTCAAATTGTGTTTAATTTTTGAACAAAGTTGTGCTGAAAACACGACGCAAATGAAACGCTTAACAAAATAACACCAGAAAACGTCAATTTAATTTTATTCAGTTTTTTTTTTAATTTTCAATTATAACACGCAGAACTTCGTGTAACGTCGTATAACGTCCAGTTTATAGCATTAAACTCACCGTCTATCAGTCTCTATATCGCGGAGACGGGAGAACCTATGTCGCGGAGAACCTAACGGGTTACCGGGGCTCCGGCTCGACGTGCAGAAGAAGGAACGGGGCAGTTTTTAGTCAGTAAGAGTCTGACACTCCCTCCCGCCTCACCCAGGCGGGAGAAGTCATTTGATGATTTTCCCCCCTTAAAAAAAATCAGTCTCCATGGCACTGAAAACATTACTTATAAAAGGTTAATGTTACTTGTATCCTTTCGGGAATTAACAGAAATATAGTGCTTGATGTGCAAAAATCTGTTTACAAATCACAAATTTAGTGCAAATTAAACTACAGCTAAGGTACCACTTATTCGTCTGATGCAAGCCTGCACATTGGTCGAACATGGCTGATGCAATGAACCTGCTTTGGCTCTCATTACTCGAGGATGGAGAAGGGGCGCCGACCCAAGCTTTTTTACTGGAAAACCGTAATTATGCGCGCAATACAGATTATAATTTTAGGTGCCGGTAGATGCCTTTTCCTTCATACCAAACACATTAGTAAGGTATGAGACTTTGAATTAAATGCATAGTCTTATAAACTATCATATAAGTAAATACAGATAAATAATTATTGACTGCACGGTTGGCGCGGTAGCTGGGCAACTGGCTGCCGCGCAACGGGTCGCGGGTTCAATTCCCGCACGGAACAATTCTTTGAGTGATCCACAGATTGTTGTTCCGGGTCTGTGTGTCATGTGTATGTGATATTGTATGTTTGTAAACGCACAAAAATATTATTGTCTTAACTAAAAATCGCAGGCTACTCACGTGAATACACTGAGAAAACCTCTACCTACTAGTTTGGCACCACACATCGCGACATCGTCGCGACCGCGCACGCTGCTCATGAGGAAGAACATCTCTGTGGTTCGAAGCTAGTAGAGCTTTTCTCAGTATATTCACGTGAGTAACCGGCGGTTTTTAGTTAAATTAGTATGTCTCACGATAGTTATTATAAAAATAAATTATATTGAATAAATTAACTTTCTTATGAATACTTACAGTTGTTCTGAAAATATTTGTGCATGATTCAAAGTAAGGAGTTTTTGAGTAAACTCGGAATGGTTTGGAAATCTATGCCAAGGATTCCAGAGTGATCATCATTGAATACCTATAATTTCAATATTAGACCCATCAAACCCAAAACATTGAATTTTAAAATAATGACTAAAAATTCTCTATTGCAAAATACAGTTTGCTACCGTTTTTACTTTTAAACATAACTCCTTTTATTTAGGTAGGTAGTACTCTGAAATGGGAGGCAGGAGATAGTCTTTAGTTCACTTTTGTTTTTATTACTGGACGTTCACATTTCTATATCTATACCGCGAAATCTATTTCGTTTTCGTTCCGAAGTAGGAAAAATGGTTCTGTCTTGGTACCTAACACTAGTATTACAAAGAAATAAATAAAAAATAACTCATCAGAAGAATGAGAATCATTGCATAACGAAGTTAGCTTCGAAAGCGCATACGAACTCATACTACAAATTTACCCATAGAAAAGAGTTCCGTCATACCGGGTTTGATTCCACAGCCCCACAACAGGTTACATATATGCTTAATTCCGCTTGTTGTGTTACCACTAACAGTGCATTCATAGTATGGAATATCTAAAATAGAAATACTATAACTATGTAACAACAATACACACTTATGATTTACAAAACTTCAGAAGCAAATTACAATTACCCTTAAACAACCTACAACTAACGCCATCTAACAAAGCACTCTGAAACTACGAGGCTGTCACGTTGCTTTGTTTTGGTCGTAAACGCGAAATATGTTTGTGAACACGAACACGAGGTTTAGCCTTGTATTGTATACTTGTCTATCTTACTGTTTTGTTCTCCTTCTAATACTTTTATACGGTTGACAGAAAAGATGCACACTGGTTTACGTACCAAATTTTAAAAGATGAAATCCGAAACCCAATGAGGCGCTTATGGCATCGAATTCATATTTTATGCGGTTGTGGCCACTGGCCACTCGTCCCTCAACCAATTAGATTATGGCTTTATTTCATCATAGTATCCTAAAAATCAACATTTTCGAAGAAAGGATAACTTACTCATGGCTGTATGTGATCAGGATTTATTAGAATGAATAAAAAGAACAAAATTAAGGTTTACATTATTTATTAAACATAATAAAATGGCAATAACAAAACATTCCTACCGGTGTTGTGATCCAGGAACCATTTCATGTTAAATTGATTTTAGAATAATGTCGACACTTGATAATATTACAATTACCAGATACTTATAACCTGATATTTTGTCTTCAAATAGTATAAAACCTGAATCAGTGGTGCTATTACAATACAAAAATCTAGTTCATAAAGGCACCTTTATTAGGTTACCATAATATTTTAAAAAGTGATGTATTGGACAAAATATAATATGATGCTCTATGTAATAACTTCTCCATACCTTGGTAGAACAAATATTTAACTATAAATATCTAGGCATGTCATCTTATATACAGGAACAGGTTAAGGAATAAAGAAGTCATCCACAGAGCATAATAAACTGAAAACATAATACTTATTTGCGTAATTCATTATGAAACACCTAATCCAGAAATTTTCAACTACATCAAATTAATATTCACTTAAATTATATTTTACACAATAATATTTGGTGTACAGAATTATCCATATAAAGTACTATTGCCAGCTTCTAAAATAATAAGTCAATAACTGCAATAATATTCAAATATTTAGAATTATATCTTAATATTTAAATAAAAACAGTAATAGATCCTATAATCTATATTGCTTGTATAACAGAAATACAACTTAACATGTAACATTAAAAGAATAAGATTAAGAACTCAAATATCTTTGTGATTATATAGGACTATGTACAGACAGGCATATAATTTATATAGGATCTCCTTACATTAATAAATAAATGTTTAGTACAAGTGCACATCAGATTGTCCTTCATTCCGCATTATCTATGTCTATGTACCAATCCACGCTCATCACATTTCTCCCACAACCCTTCTAAGATTAGCAAAACACTATCATAGATGTAGTAAATTTGTATTTTACTAGAAAATATTATGCATAGTTTTCTTTAGCCAAGATTGACAAAGTGTTAGTAGATTCATTCTCAGAAACTAATGAACCACATTCTAAATATTGGTACACTTGTATATTACACAATAATTATTGATATCAGTCAATAGCCATTCTCACTAAAATTCTGTAAGACAAGAACTAAAGACAAGAATTGATTTCTTGTTTTAATAAATCAAGAAAGTGGAAGAATTAGAGTTGCAAAATGTACATTATCTGTTTAGTCCTATCCTTGCAACCAAATCTCAGTACTCATGAATTTATTTACCCATTTACATCTTCCCATATTGAGTCATTACAAGGTGAACAATAATTAATAGTAGGGCACTTAGATAGGATATTTAGTAATTGGGTACTTGCCAACTAGTCAAATTCAATACTTTTTTCGAACTGTCAAAAACAACAGTTTTCTATTAATTTCATACGAGATTGTGTATTATGACGTCACATTTTTTTTGCTCGAAACAATTTACTTATTTCTTAAAAATTGGCTGGAAAAATACTAAAATTAAGTTGGTCATAAAATCATTTAATGAAAGTGTTTTATTGTATTGAACATTCGAATAATTTATTTTGGATTAAAGAAAGTACCCAATTAGATTAATAAATTAATGAGTACTGGAGTTAGCTAAACCATATCAGTTACAACTTCATTAGTTAATTAATATGGTTTAGGCATTGATCATCATCACAAATTGTGCAAGCATGATTAATGTAATTTTACAACTTTAATGTGTTTTCCAAAGTATAGTCAGTGTCCCACAGAATTCCCCCTTCATTTAAGGACAACCACATTAAAATAATATTATTTACTTACAACTACATCTTTCACATTTAGTAAACATTCAGACTATTTTGATATATTTTATAACATTATGTATGGAGGCAACTAACTATTGAAAACTATTATTTTAAGATATATAACACACATGTAAAATAACCTGATATTAATGTGTTGTATGTATATTTATCTCAATTCATCCTGAATGCTTTATGTACAATAAATCACGAAACTTGTTATACTATATCATATAAAAACTTAATTCTATGACTGTGTCATTATGCCAGTTACAAATAAATGCTTTATAAGGCATATTATAACATCATGAGATGATCCTTACCGATAGAAGCTGCTATTATTGTTCCTAACATGTCATATATTAATTTATCTATATATTATGTATTGTTTATTCTACAAATTATGTAATTATGCATGGCTACTCCATACAATATTAATTGAACACTATTTTGTGCTAACAAATTGATAATTGAAATGCAACATTCAAAATTTGAAAGAGAAGTTAGTCATTGTTACTTTTGTTATATCTGCCCTATCAATAAAAACAAGGCCTTAGTAATTTAACTATATATAATACAAAATTTATATAAATCAATATGACATATTTTCTGTTTTTATATCACAATGACATAACAACACAAAATACAATAACTTAGCTTTCACAATTATTGCACACGCATTTCAAGTATTGTAGAAATGTTTCCTCATAATAATACACCTCGGTGTAACATTAACTTATCATAAAATACATCACATTTCACATATTGGGGCTATAATACAATATATTAATATACCTTACCGACAACTATTTAGTCACTTCACTTCTTTCTTTAATGTAACAGTCTTATCTGTTTGCTTAGCAGTAGGTTTGGCTGTGGATCATTTCTTCTTTCTGTCCTGAGTACACTTAGGGCAGTACCATTTACCTTTAGGCTTGATCTTAAGGTCCACACAGGCAAAGTGGAACCATTCTATAGGGCAATCAGGATTGTCACACCCAATCATCTCTCCATATGACACTTGATGGCAGAGGCAGTATGTAGGCTCATTTGGATCCACAGGCATATCCAACACATCACTGGGATGAGCCATTCCTCCTACAGAATCTAAATCAGCATTCTCCTCCTGTTCTTTAGAATTATTAGCAGTAGCAGCTGCACCTTTACGTACCGCTTTTTTCTTCGCTGCCGACCTGCCTGAAGCGGCGGCGTCGTCTTCACTAGACGCTCCGGCACGTTTCTTCTTGCCAGTGGTAGATGCACTCTTATCATTAATTTTACTTTTCTTCCTACCCTTCTTGACAGTGGCAGCATTGGGTTCCTGGTCAGCAGCGGCTTGCTGTGCGGCACGTGCGCTCATTACTTTCTCCTGTATCTCAGACTCAAATCGTGCGAGGTCAGAGTCAAGGCGACGTATGTGCTTATCAACCAACTCGTAGGTCTGTATTGCAAGTTGCACTTTATCGTCTCCGTACTCCTTGGCTTTATTGAATAGTCCTTGAATGGTATTTACCTTTTCTTTCTTGGTTTCTTCGTCCATTTTCGGGATTTGTGGTAGCAACTCGTCAGCCATAAGGTCGATCGTCCTCATTAGTCCGTGTGCACGGTCATCTAGATCACGCATTAACTTAAAGTTTCTCTGCAATTCTATCGGCAGATGCTGCAGACTGTCCAAATAATGTTCTAAATACAGTGCAGAAGTCATTTTGCAATATTTAGCAACGATGTAAAAATGAAAGTGCGAAACACTGATAATAAAACAACTGTTACACTGATTATATTATCACTAAAACTATTTTAGTTTCTTTTGTAACTGAGTAATTTAATTATTCTTTACTATTTGATTTAGTTTAACACATAAAAATATCACGGAAAGTCCGACAGATTCGTGATATGCACTTTGCAACAATAAATTTCGTTTCGTTCAAGCTCAAACAAGCGAATGTGAGTGAGTGTTGCCACTTCATTCGTTAAGTTTGAACTTTATAAAATAAGTAGAATATTTCTGATACAAATACGAAATAAAATATATTTCTATTAATGAAAGACTCACGAAGGAAGATATAACTGTATGAAAATATACTTTTTAATAGATGTTTAAGTAATAATGGGAAACTAAACTATTATTATTTTAATTTGTAACCCTTATAGATAAGGCGCGTAACGCGTTTCGTTTTCCTATGCAACTTTACAGTAATTTTAAGTTTTAATGACTAGAAAATACCATTTGTTAATGTTGTTTAATTACACTAATTATCAAATGGCATCTTTAAATTATGATTTTTAATTTGTGTGTATTAATATATTAGTTAAAAATAAAATAAATTCGCTCACATTAAAGCACTACAATGTAACACCCACTTTTCACTATTTTATGTTACTATATATGAGTCCCACTCCACTCGGAACAATAACATTGTTCCGAGGAGTCCCACGTAATAGAGAATGAGTCTATTGCCATATATCGGGCACAATTCCAGACTCCGTGCTACTACTGAGAACTTTTTAAAAAACCCAGTATTTCTCTCCCGACCCGGGAATTGAAGTTTATATTATTTTTCTGAAATTGAAATTACCTAGAAGGTATTCATGAAATAAAATGTGCATTTAAAAAATTACAAAGTATTACATTCTTTGCATTGAGCACTACTCGCTTACAAATTCATTTTATTTCTGGTTTCCAATTTTTAGTTAAGTACTTATCTACTTTTATTCGTTCATTACCTAATTTAATCCTAAATATTAATTTAGTGATTATCATCTAAAAATTTAATCTTAAAATTAGCTAATAAATAGGTATAATTTGCTGCTTTATACCTAATTATTTCAATCAGGTCATTAATTCATTACGAGTTCAATTCCATATTTCGCTAACATAATATTTAATTAGTAGTAGTCAATGCACAATTACTATATAAACTTTGCGCTACTATTGTGACGTAATCATTTAGACCTTTCAATGCAATTTCGTTGATATACTTACTTTCGATTTATTTCTGGCAAGTTTGTAATGTTTGTAACAATATAAGTACTAGGTTTTTCGGGTTATTTAGGAAGTAAATAAAATAAACAACACATTTAACTTATATTGTATTAGCAAATAAACAATTTATAAAATATAATTCTTATTACACAATGAAGTCCATGATACAAAGCACTTCAGCTCGACGCCGTCATTGGTTACCATGTAACTTTACAAGCTGCTTAATTAATCGCTTTATTGATGATTTCTGAACATTAATATGCAGTCACATTGTAACCAGCAAGCGACGTCGTACGTGGACTATTCGGCGATTACAACAACTTGCTTTCGATTTTAATATTAAAAATTATAAACATTTAAGAAAAAATGCAAATAAATAATTAGCAATTGCCATTGACGGCAACATAAGGAGGCGCTCGTATTCTACATAATATAAAACAAGATTTATCATTTCCTTAGAGCTATAATTACATCTCTTACTACTTTATCGTGACCATTACGTACATTACACTACTATTCTACACGCTGCTCGTACTGATTATTACGCAACGAAAGTAGACATTTCCAAAACTCCATAAAGCATAGTATAAATTATTTCTGGATTACACAAGATACACTCGAATTCATATCATCGATTATTTCATAAGAAAAAAGACTTGTATTTACAAAAAATGGCGGGTTTCGTGACTTCAAAACTATATTAGGTACCAAGTCGGTACCCGTTTTACAAAGGAATAGTTTTGACTGGTTTGTAAAATAATTGCAAAATGTTCACCCCCACTATACAAAATCATAAGAAGTACATACACAAAACGATTTTGTAAACTTATGCCTAGCTAGGTACAACACTACATTTATTTAGAAAATTTGGTACACATTCGTTGCTCATTTTAATATTAAAACGTATTAAACACAATCGCGTGGGAACAGTGAGCAACTAAACACTTCGGAATGTATATTTCAGGAAATTCAAAAAGCTCACACAGGACACAATATTGTTTAGAGAGATATATAGTTAAAAGAAAACTTTTGAGATTCCTTTCTTACCTACATACAATTACAATAGAGTACACAAAATCATCTCCAATATAATTTTCCACTATGTGATGATACAAAATGTATAAAATGGAAGTTAATTGTATTACTTTGACGAAAATATACAATCGTTATATATTATGTAATTGGCACTACATACGCAGGTCACATATTATATGAAATTACAAAACATTTTATTATACTGTAAACATTGCAATCTTACACGTAGGAATAGGCATCTATCTAATTTATTCTCCACCTAACAAACATGCCTAATGGAAACAATTATTGTTCATAAGATAGAAGACTTTATATGAATAATAGAAAGAACATTCTCCATAAATCATAACGACGCACCATTATTGTTTGCATACAAAACATCGACTAGCAACTTCATAATCCTGTTTTTATTAAAGCATTTTTTAAATTCATAAATAAAATTATACATATCAAGAATCTCAAACGTAATTTCACAACCGTCTGTAAGCGGTTTTGAGGGTCAAGACAAATATTATTATTCAAATTTATTAAGAAGCTAAGCACCATGCAGTAAGTTGTGCTAAGGTGGGCCTCATCAGTCCGAACACTGTAGCAGTGAAGTTACTCAAACGACAGCTACATATTGTCAACGTAATAAAACATCATTCTGCCACCATTCATTCCAAAAGGAAGAGTAGATATTTATTAATTTAATACTACTATCTATCCATTCTCGTCACTACAGTTATATTCAATACCGCGTATATAATATTTTTGGTTTTACATATGAAACAATCATTTACCATCCGTCCGATCTTTCCCTAAGACTAGCCAATAAACCTTTCGTCTGATATAAACATCAATCTATTATTTATTATCAAATGAATTATACGATATTCCATGCAATGCACCATGTTTTACCTATAATATTGACCTGTGACCTAATAGTCTATAGAGGGCACAGTAAAATGGAATAGACAGATATGAAAGATCCTTTCAAGACATACATCGAATCAAGTATAAATATTAATTATACAGCTAAAGGTCAAATACTCCACATTCCACGTTGCCAAATATCACAATAAGTAAGAACGGAAGGGGCGGGGCGAGCGGAAGAAGCGAAGGAGTTACACGAGCGTCTCGTACTTGTCGAGGACGTGCGCCTGGTTGGCGTCGTCGCCGTGCGAGCGCGAGCGCGGGCGCGGGTCGGCGGCGGCCGCGCTCTTGGAGCGCGCCTTCTTGTCGTGGCCGCACGTGCAGGCCACGGACGACTGGCGCTTGAGCGTGTGCGCGCGCGCCGCGCCCCAGGCCGGGTCCAGCGACTCGCTGCGCGCGTAGTGCGGCCGCTTGGCGCGCCCCAGCGTGGCCGCGCCCGCGCCCTGCCCGCTGTCGGACGACGGCCGCATGGACTCGCTCCGCACGCATACGTTCCCGCCTGCTCGTCTGAACGAATCTAGGACTCTTTCCTCGATCTCCTCGATATCTTTCTTCTTCACGAGCCAGATCTCTTCGGATCCTCTCGTGAAGTAACTCGACCCTTTGCTCACGGAGTATTTGTCCTTTGTTTTAAATTTACAAGTCTTAAAATTATTCTGAGTATTTACATCGTCGTTGACCTTGTGTACTTCTCTAGAGCGAGCGGGGTCGGGAGAAGCGACGTTGCGGAAGGCAGTGCCGTGTGAGGGGAACTGGTCGGGGATCTTGGCACCGAGACTAGGCGAGCGTATCGTGACGTCGACTGGTGACGGCATCGGCTTGAACTCTGGTTTAATTATCTTCTGGGGCTCAGGACGCACTTTCTCGGGCTCCGTGGTCACTTCAGATCGCTGCCAACGCGGGGGCGCCGCCGCACTGCGTGTAAGACTCAGTTGCCGTTCTAGTACGGAGGGTGCAGTGCTCAACTCAAAATGAACATTATCCTTGAAGGGAGTTGCAGGTGGTGGAAGGTCCTCTCGACTATTGTCCGAGCCGAGTCTCTCAGTTCTTGGTCGTCCTCGCACTGATCCAGGCCGTGACAATCGTCCCGTAGTGCTACTTGCATCCTCGGCTGCCTTCTCGAATTTCTTTATTTTATCCCCAACTCCATTTGATTCCTCTGACTTAGTAGTCTGTTCACCATCTTTATCAACTTTCGGTTCGTCAACCTTTGCAACCTCGTTACATTCAACTGGACGAGTTATTTCGGTCGAGGCAAGAGATAGTTTTTCAACCTTGACAGGACCTTCTTTGGCAACCGGGGATTCACGCCAAGGAGTTCGAGGTGCGCTAGGTACATCGTCACTCTTTTGGACGGCGGCCGTGGGTTTATTTTCAGGAGCTGGAGGTGAAGTAACTTCGGATCGCGGAGGAGTCGGCCTCCTCGACGGAGGTGAAGTGACATTGTTCACAGGCGGCGCAACAGCTCGCACAGGCGGGGACTTCACCGGTGGGGACTTCACCGGCGGGGACTTCACCGGCGGGGAAGCGACAGGGGGAGGAGATTTGACGAGAGGAGATTGAACCGGGGGAGATTTAACCGCAGCAGGGTCAGCGCGGCGCGGAGGCGAAGGCGGGCGCTCGCGACTGGACGCCGACGACGTGGAGGACTGGCGCGCCTGCCGCGCCTCGATGTCGCGGCTGAGGAAGGACGAGTTGCGCACGTAGCACGCGTCGTCCGGCCGCGCCTGCGCGGGGGCAGCCGCGGCGGCCGGCTGTGGCTCCGCCTTGAGCGTGATGGCCACGGGCTCGCCCGCGCCCGGCGCCGGCGCGGCGGGGGGCGCGGGCTCGGCCGGGCGCCGCGGCGGCCCGGGGTCGGGCCGGGGCGAGGCGCGACGTCACGCGCGGGACTCGGTCCACTGGTCGGAGTCGTCGGAGTCAGAGTCCGCGCCCGAGCTGGTGTCGCTCAGTTCCACGGCGACGCGCCGCGCTAGGATGCTGGCTACGTCTAGGAACACGGGCGCGCCCCGCAACGTGTCGTACCGTCCCGTATTCTCGTCGCAGCGTTTCTCCACTTTGCGAAGTTTTATACCTGAAAATGTTATGATGCCATTCATTACAAATGTGTCAGTACTAGTCAGTAGGTATACTATAGGAACGTGTTGGCTTTAGGGGCCTGAGTGATATAATAATATAAAATGATTTAGACACATACCATCGCGAATGGCCTTCAACAAGTCGGATCTGGGGTCGGGTTGAGGATCGGGTGTAGGGCGCGGTGGTTTGAGAGCAGATGCTCCACGTAGCAAGGCACCGGGCGAGGGGGGCCGCGGCCGGTCCTCGGCGGGGGGCGGCGGCGGAGGGGAGGGGGGAGCGGCTGGGGGCGCGGGCGCTACGGGCGGCGCGGGGGGCGCAATGTGTCCGCCGGGGCCCAGCGCACCTAGCGCGCTCAGTCCACCGTCTGCCTCCTCTGACGACATCATACCTGAATAGGAATATCCTACACTTAGTATGCAAATAATATTGTTTGTGAATTTTTATTAATGCTCGAAAATTAAGTAAATGTTATGTAGTAAAAAAATATTACAAAGAAACGTTACCTATAACGGCGTGCATGTGGTCGAGATGAGCATCGAGCGCGGTGCGGTGTGGCGGGGACGCGCCGTTCATCATGGGCGGGGACACCGAGCCCTCGGGGGGCGGGGGCGGTGGGGGCAACGCAGACCTACGCGTACAACACCGTAGTATAGTCGTCAATATTGATCAAATTGTACTTAGGTCAGTTATCCCAGACTACTCTGATAAGAAAAAAACTTACAGCAGTTCTTACCAATAGTAATAATTGTATGGAGTTTCTGTCGAAAACCAGGATCGATCCAGAGATTTTGAATTAAAACCAGTTAATTTTGGCCACTAGAGTGTTTGACAACGTGAGAGATCTAAGGTGTACCTGGTGGGGGTGTGTAGCGGCGGGGGCGAGGCGGCGTGCGGGGGCGCGTGCGGGGGCGCGGCGGGCGCGGGGGGCGCGGGCGGGGGCACGCTGGGCCGCACCCGCCGCGGGGTGCCGGCGCCGCTGCCGCCGTAGATGGGCTCGCCGCCTACTGAGCCGTACGGACTCTCCTCTGCCACTACAACTGTAATAAACATATTTTAGTTGCTACTGTTTCCTTATAACACGGTAACACCATTAATAGTAAATTAATATCAAGTAAAATATCGATATGAAGACATTGATGAGGGCAAACATTTCTTCAAAACTTCAATCTTTATAAGTGGTCAAAAAACTGTATGTCTCATGACCAGTAAAGTATATTATAATGTTGAATAATTTAGTAGGCGTAGTTAGTCCATTATTAAACAAGTAAATGAATAATATCTCACCATGTCCGTTCCCAGTTATCCTAGGCTGTCTATTCTGTGTGTTCTCAATCTCGATGGAGTTGGGTCGCGCCGGTTGTACTGACGGCGGCCGATTCTGTGATACTCTGTACCCACCGTCCGATATATTCGTCGCTGAAATAACAATTACGTATTAAACTATTGTTTTTAATGACGGTGGTTATTAACAACAGTGTTTATCAAAGAAATCAGCAGTATATCGTAACACACTTAGGAGCTTGGTTCACAATATAAAACAGTAATGGTTACCGACCTTACAGGGGAGCACATTATGTAACCTATGGAGTTTGTTGCTTGTTCTTCGCCATATGAAAACTACACCATTGAAAGAGCAAATAGCTTCACTTTCAATTTTTTTGTCGACATTCAAAAGTGCCTTCCTGGTCTAATTAAAATAAATGATTTTGACTTTGACTTTGAAACTAATTACGCTTTATTTAAGGGGGGAAAATCATCGAATGACCTTCTCCTGCACGTGGAGCCGGAGCCCCGGTAACCCTAGAAGAACCTAACGTTCTCCGTTGTTTGGTAACACAGCCAAATTATATCAAGAAACCCATATAAAATGTCTGTCGATATGTGTCTTATGTACTCACTCTGATAGACAGGATCGGGTTTGTAATGTGGTTCGATGTTGTAGTGCCTGAGTTGGCTGGGCGCCATGATGTGCTCGCCGCGGGTGACGGCGGCCTCCTTGAGGCGGTCGCGCGTGGAGTGCGGCGGCCGGACGCGGCGCGCGCCTCGGCCTTCTGCGTTACCACCGCTGCGGGGCTGACGGACCTGACGACAAACTTATTATTAAACGAAAATCTTGCACAAATTCACCAACCCTTTTATTTTCGACCTAAACACACTGCTGCTTCTAGCAAGTCGATATCAACAGTAGGAACTAACCAAAAAAGGTATCAATAAAGACAAATGTGTTCCACGGACATGAACAACCGTTTTGGATCCGGCAACAAAACTAATCTCAAGAAATAGTTTTACATATTACTGCGTGTTCTCTTTTGCAGAAGATTGTGTAATGCACAAAAAAATATCAGATCACCAATCAAGCAAAAATTAATTCATTAAACAATAAATTCTTACCTTCTTCCCCCGATCATGCTGAATACGTTCAGTATCTTGAAGCATCTCTCGTCTCCATAATTCGAAGAAGTAGTCAGGATCTGTGTAGAACTTCCTTGCGTCTCTGCCATCATCTCTGAACTCGTTGAGCATTTCAAGCGGCGGGGGTCGGTCGCATCGCGCGTACGTTGACAACATGGCCGACGGCATAGAGTTGCGCGAGAACAACTGTTGCTGGAAGGACCGCGCTGACCGGAACGCCTTGCGCATCTGTATGTCTTGTAGTGATACTGCAATAGAGATAATATGTTTAATTGAATAGTATAGCAAAACTTGTGCCTAAGTCATTTTTAATCGTCTTTGATGTAACTCAAGTATTAGATGCAATCAAATGAGTTCATAATCAGTTCTAAGTGTTCCAAAGCAACGATTGTTAAGCCTCCATATCATAATGGACACTATGGAACCAACAACCAGCTTCAGAAAATGAACATGTGATAAGACATATTTGTCTGCAAGTCTTTTTGGAGTTAATATTTTCATGATATGAGATCAAGATGACCATAAATAAAAAAAAATATCAAGGTAAATCTGACCTTCCTCCACTCCAGAATCGAGTTGCGTAACCTTGATAGCGAGTCGGTCTATCCTAGCCTGCAACACGTTCGTACGTTCAGCCAGGTTCGTCGCCTCCCGTGTCAGCTCCCCGAACATGTCCTCCGCATGCTTGGACAGCGATGACAATTGCCTGGAAATACAGAAAAAGATATGTTAACTGTTGCAATCTTTTCATTCTCTCTACTTAATTATTATCTGTTTGAGATTATAAAGAGGAAATGTTTATTTTTGTACCGAATAGTCTCCGAAACTATTGGTCTTTCACCATTACAAAATAGCCTCGTTCGGCACTCTGATTGGTTGGTTCATTGGTGCCAGCCAATCAGATTGCCAAACGCGTACTCGTTTCAAATTCTTTAAACGTAAATCAAACATGTACTAAGGCCTCTGAAAGAAATATCCTACTTCGTTACTTCAAAGATTGTTTCTTTTCTATGAAGATTCTATTTAAATATAACATGTTCATGTCAATTGTTTTTTAACCTCAAAAATAATAAAAATTGGCTACAGCTTCCTCAAATTATATCTCATTTGAACACAATAATAATAAATCCGTTTTCCTTATTACATGGTTAATTAAAAATAATTTTATAATAACAAAGAATGTCCTACGAACATAGAAGGAAAATTATTGTTTGAACTGTATACGTATTCACGACGTTTTGTTCTTTATATTCTGTTGATGTATAAATAGCTTTTATTAGATAAAACATATATGAATTATAGTTTAAAAATACCAATTAGTTACACCAAGTTTAAACAACAACAATAGAAAACTAAAATACCGTTTGTAACATTTTATTTTCCAGAAAAAAAGCAGTATAATATCAAAAAATAATGTGATACATAAGCCAGGCTAAGACCAGGCGAGGCTGAGGTCAAGAGCGGTCCCCTTAATTAATAAAAGGTCCCTTTGAAGGAGGCCAAGCGATGCAGGTTAATGGCAGAAATGAGGTTTCGAGGAAAAACGCCGAAAATAGACATTTTAGAGGATTTTAAAAATCTATACAGCCTCTTCGTAAAACCTTGATGAGAATTACATATTACACAGGTGGTTAGAGAATGTATTGACATTTTATTGGTGAACAATTCGCGTTCAAGGGTATTCTTCATTATTGCAGTCGTAATGCCTAATGGTTTAGATTACCTACTATAACATATTTATTTTTATGTCAATGATATTATAGCCCTATTTTATATATATATTCTTAATGTGTCCCATAGAAACCTGTTGACCTAAACGTGTTCAAGGTTAGGAAGTTAATTCGGAAATACCTTGTGTATTATTCACTATGTGACGTTGACCGACAGTGCGAACCATCAGCTAATTGAGTCAGCTCAGTTAATTGTATTCTTTTTTAGGACACACCCTGTTGTTCTACGTTAGCCGTACTTGGTAACAGAGTGCATTACCTACATTCAAATTCGTGCTTAACATAAAAAGATTTCAGATTTTGTAATAAAAATATCCCTTTGTACCAAAAAGTAGGATATTACAGTGTATTATTGTCCAATCCATACTGTGACGGTGCTGTTAAGATTTATGAGTTCGTATGTAGTTTGGACAGATCCTAATATTTCTCGTTACTCCAATAATTCTCATGGTCACGATGAGTCTGGCATAATCCGCTTAGATTTAAAGACTCTTATTATATTTTAATAATGAGAGAAAAAACAGTGAGATTTATTATTTTATGAGATTATTTTTCACAATGTCCATATAACAATATACTGTACAGAATGCTAAAATAACGCTTGTTAGACAACACAGTTTATTATTAACTTTTCAATGTTTTTTCAACGGTTCCATGCGATCTCAGATTTCGCAAATAAGTTCTAAAGAGGTTGATTACCTGTGTGTTGTTGTTCTATCTAAGAGATAATTACCTGACAGTGTTAGCGAGCGTGCCATTGGTGACAGCTTCAAGTTCTGACGGGACCTGGAGCCGCTCGGGGACCGTGCCGCGTGACACATGCACGGGCTCCACGCAGCGTTTCGGCAGCGGCATGGCTGCGCAGCGGCTCCGCTACCTCGTGTACATCACTAGAACAAACGACACATTACATTAAACTGTCAAACACCAAGCGGTCACCGGTGACCGCAACCTATTGTTCTTTAATTGTGTCTATAAATACGGTACTCGACGAGTTAATTACCAAAATGGTGGTAAAAATATGGGCAAAAAGGTAATCTAATAATAATTGATCAGTGTACAGTGTATTCGTCCTTTAGTGAAGTTAGCTGCTAACTAGGCATCAGCTAAGGTTTCCGGATTGACCATTAACTAAATTACGTAAGCAATAGTGAAGGTTTTCCTTTCATTTCCTACTTTCCATTTATCTTTTACTAGTTTTCCGCTTGTAACTTCACAAATTCTTAACTTTCTTAGTCACTTTACCATCATGAGCTGGAAATCCGCAATAAATCCTAACCTCTTTAGATAAAGCTTTTTTTAGCTCAAGTAAATTAAAATAATACATATTGTAAACTTAAATTGCGAAACCATCAGCGAAATAATTTATTTATTTATTTAACAATTATCATAAAAATTTTACAGTAATTAAATTCCTCGACTTTCATTCAGTGAACAACATAATCATTAATGAGTAACTTCAATAAATACTCCTTTATCGCTATACCTAGGTGTGGTTAGAAAATAAACACTATCTAGAAAGCGATATACATTCTGTTGCGTCTATGTTTGGTAATTGATAAATTTTTCTTATCATTGATTACTTAATGGTAGTCGAGTTTTGAAAAATATACCTATACATAAATATCTTTACAATTGCTTGGACATTTATTAAAAACATTTTTAGCTTAGTCATGACTTATAGTTATCTATCAGACCTTTAATTACCGACCAATTAACAAAAAAATATGTGTCCTCTAAACTATTTCAAAATAACTATAATAAAACAATAATTAAAGTACATTATTAGTACAGAATTTTAATTATGAAATAGAAAATGTAATTTTAATTAAAGAATCCTTGAGATTCTAGTTCAACATACGTAGTCCATCATACTTCTATATAATATTATTTTCTTATGCCTGCCTCGTTGGCCGATTGGTCACAAGTGCGAATGCCGGGCAAGGGTTCGATGCCCGGGTCGGGCAAAGTATTACTGGGTTTAAAAAAAAATCTCAGTAGGAGCACGGAGTCTGGAAATGTGCCCGGTATATGGCAATAGGCTCACCTCCCATTACATGGGACTCGATAACATAAATATGAAATGTGGGTGTTACTTCTGTGTGCACCTCTACCTACCCCTTCGGGGATAAAAGGCGTGATGTTATGTTATATATGCTCTTATACTACAGTCAAGTCAATATGACACTTCGAACCTAGCTAGTATTCGCAAATGACTCGTTTCCTCATTTATTTCTCGATGCCAGACGGTACGTGATCTCTGTCGACGAGAAGACAATACGTTTCTAAATTAACAACAACATCAACAAGTGTGGGAGAGCCATGCTTCGGCACGAATGGGCCGGCTCGACCGGAGTGATACCACGGCCTCACAGTAAACCGACGTGAAGCAACGCTTGCGTTGTGTTTCGTCGTATGAGTGCGGTTACCGGAGGCCCAATTACCCTCCACTTCCCCATCTCCCCAATCCCTGAATCCTCAACGATCCTCAAACTCCTAATCCCTAAAAGGCCGGTAACGCACTTGTAACGCCTCTGGTGTTCCAGGTGCCCATGGGCGACGCCGATTGCTTACCATCAGGTGGGCATCGCATCGCAGGCATAGGAGGCAAACGAGCAGACGGATCACCTGGTAGTACAGGAGTCACATGTGCGTTGCTGGCCTTTTAAAGAGGAATAAGCTCTGTTCTTGAAGGTTTGAAATTCGTATCGGTTCGGAAATACTGCCGACGACAGATCATTCCATAGTTTTGCTGTGCGAGGCAGAAAGTTACGTGAGACGCACACAGTTGTGGCCTGCCAACCATCTATATCTAAATCATGATAAAAATCTACGTTTAGCAGATGAGTTTCAAGATCCCAGCTAGAAAGGTTCTGGTTTATCCGGTATGGTATTACCTGGTCTCTGTCAAAATGGACCCGCGGGAAGAATAGGAGTAGATACAAATCTAACTCTGTTCGTGCATAATCGATGAATAAATTAAATTTACCTTTCATTAGGTCTTGTAAAAAAGTATAACATGACACACATACATTAGTACGGTCGCACGACAGGCAACGTTGTAGTACTGGTAGTGCAAATTCCGGCTTTCCGTCACTTGTTCCTAGTAATTACTGAGTTATTAAGTTATCCACACATTTATGCGGCGGAACGGCCGTGCGTGTTATTGCATGGAAGTGAGAATAAGGTTTTAGTTCTGTTCCGCTGTTGGTTTCACTGGAACATGGTTTTTATATTTATAGGCTTGTGGGTCAGCCGTATAAGTCTGTGTCTTATTTTGCTATGTATAGATTTATGATTTGATCGTTTGGTATATAGAATGACCTAATGTCGTATCTAATAAGCACACTGCATACGAAAACGCTTTCCGAATTCTCAAATTCATCCTCGTTCTCAATTCTATCAATAAATATCGCTCGATTCTTTAGTTCTAATAGTTTTCCGAAACGTAATCAAAAGTAACGTCTAAACAGTGTCTTAAACAGACAAAACGCTAATAAAAGGTAGATGCCATTACTCTCTATTAAAGCTTTCCGAAAGGTGAGTTAATGATAATATTAGATACGCTTAACGATGATTAAGTTATCTACTGCTAGCACCGCGGAAAATAGAGACATGACGTTGCATTTTTCTTTTAATAAAAAGGTACAAGGCTTAGTTTAATAAAAATATCTTCTAGTAAATTAGTCATTATCACAATTATGTGCATCAAGGGTACCCAAGGCTGGTCATTCGCCTGTAAATGTCCCTTAATCGGGTTTACGTCATAAAGGGACCGCGTTTCCCGAAAATAGCTCATGTGACATGTGCCTTTATCCGCACTACGAATATATTTAGGTTCGCATGAGTACGTGCTGTAGAAATATAAATTGACAACGAATAGGAGAGGTCAACCACCTAGTAATGTTTCCTGAACACTAATGTGTGTCACATAGTAGAAAAATGCTGTATAACGTATCATTCATTAGGCCTTTTTTGGAATAAAATAAAATACATTACGAAAGAGCACCTATAAATATTGAATGACGCTATATTATCCTATCCACTTTTCAAAAAATGCCCTTGCATATTATTCCAAAGATGTTTTACTTTACTAAATATAAAATTCTGAATATACATCGTTTATAATATTGTCATAAATAACGAATGCCAACATTAGTCAATGTAATGTTTGTACAAAATACGTGCTTATTTAACATTCCTAATGTTCCTATCGTAAGAAATGACCTTCGATATTGATAAAATACTTTGAAAATTACGACATCAACAGTATGGTTTTACTGTATGTAGGAACCTTGAGTACCAAGTCCTCAATTCCCTTTGAGATAAAAGGGGGAGTTGGGAAGTGAAAGCCGGAATCCTGTCAATGCAATTAAAGTACGTTCTGTTCGATATTCCCGCCTCGTAATGGAATGCTTTTAGAGGTACACTATAGACGATGGCTACATCTAGACTTCTGTGTAGTAACACTTGTCTCCGTGCAATTTTAAAGTGGTTTTCGTAGTAGATTAGCTTGAGTATTGAACTTACTGTTACTCAATTGTTTTAAGTGAGTGATAGCAGTAAGTAACCGACAATGTAAGCTTCTCAAAGAATTGTCTTTTAATACCATTACCTTCTTGATTAAGCATTGGAAAACACATTTTCCATAGCTATGCAGGCCAAATAAAAAACCATATCCGAACCTAACCAACATTCATGAGCTGACCTTATAAAAAGCTAGACTACAACTGATGTATTTGAAACATAATTAAGTGTTACAGCATCGATTATGTCTCCTTAACAAAAGGTTTGCATCGAGAGTACTGGCATTAAATGAATGGTGTCGTTTCAAAATGTCAGTGGCGTGCGGCGTGCCGAATCAAAACAATATGGAGTCGAACGGTATGTAGCAATGCAGATTTAAATCATAATGCTAACTGTTGGTACTTTAACTGTAACAGTTACTGTCTTAGTTAAAGGGTTTTCTTCATCCAGAGAGTGAATAGAAAATGCTAATGCGATGATAGCTTTGCTAAGTGTTTAAGAAATTTTTTTGGACATAGTTGACATTCTTGTAGTAGGTATGGTTTCTAAGTCATTTTTTTTTATTTGATAGGCTGACGTTTGACCACTATCTCGCCTAGTGGTACACGATGATGCGGCCTACGATGGAGCACATCTGCCCATAAGCAACCTATTCACTCGGGCCTTAAATTCACCCAGGTGAATACCATTCAGGAAACACTAAAAAGATGGACGAAACTACTATATTTATTTGTGAACATAATACAGAGTAACCTTCAATAGAGGCGTGTATTTCAATGCTGACGGCCTAATTAGAAAAGAAGACTGCACAAAGCAAAGCCCATACGGATGGAAAAAGTATAATCATGATGATGTCTGGTGGAAAATAGAAGCAAAATCATGATGTGTTAACCTCCAGTTAGTAAGAACTCTTAGGTCAAAAGCAGACGAAGTAAGTTGACTGTAATAGGCTTACATAATATCATAAACTGCAAAGTCAAAGTTAAAGCATTTATTTCAATTAAACCATAGTTTGGTACTTTTGAAACGTCAACAAATACAAAATAAATAATAGTCTGTCAGTCAGTCCGTCAGTGAAACTAGGTGAAGCTAGGTGCTCATTCCAAAAAGTAGATTCGAATGGAGAAGAACGAGCAAAAAACTCCATTCGTTACTCTTTTTAAAAAAGTATGTTCTACAATGTCTCTGATACATATTTCAATACTGTACGCATATGTAAGAACAATGCAAAGACACGCTTGACGAATTATACTAATAACTTACTAAAAAAAAAAAAAAAAATTGAAGTATATCAGCAAAAGCTCAGGACTGAAGAAGATCATTAAATA